TAAACACTGACCTTGTGCCAGCCCATGAGAGCAATGCTCTCCCCCGGCTCTCCGGAGCACTGCGATTCTGTCCCGGAGCTACGATCCATACAGGCATTTGCGTCAAATGGTGGTGGAATTAGTGCAGTTCAGGCACTTGATAGCGATCCCATCATGAAGGTTCACGTGTCATGCACCACACCATATGGCTCTGCAGGCAAAGCACAGCGTGCTTGGCCTTACAGGCAAGGAATTAAATGAGGCGTGAAGCTCACGAACCACCACTGCTCGCTCCTGTTTGCTCACGTCCCAGCCCAGAGCCTGAACCTCTCCGATACCTGAGCACTGCAGAACAGTCGCCCCGCCACGGCCACTCTGCTGTCCCCAGCGACTTGCCCTTCTCCTGGATGGATCATAGGAAGAAGTCAACACGCCCAAAATCTTCTCCCACCTTTCAGATATGGACATGAAGCTGAGGAGGAAGATCTTTTTTCTTTCCATTGTTTTCTCTGCCACCAACACCACATTTCACCCTGGCCTTGCTGCGAGTTGCACTTGGGCCTCATTATAACTGAGCAGGGACTATTGATTCACGTTGCAGACAGTAATCATTCCTTTTCTATCAATAGCTTTGTCGCTGACATTTTAAAAATCACACACTTCTTCCTACCATAAAACACTGTTAAGATTATGTATTCTCTGGAAGTTAAGATTTTAAAACCAAACAGAAGTAATTATTTTAAACACAAGGAATTACTTCAGTTTTGAAGACAACACTGATGAGGAAACAGTCCTGGAAATCTTCCACTGCATGGGATTACCTTAGAATAAGAAAAAAACCAAGGCATTGGAATAAGAATGAATAATACTGGTTACTTCCCTGTGGATGTAACATAATTTAGGATGTGTTTTGCAAAGGCTTAAGTTAAAAACAAAAAGTTGTATCAGGGCTAATGATTATCAGTCTAAACTGGAATTTTTGTATAAACTAAAATGATTTAATATCTGGGCAGATTCTTAGATGGTAATGACTGTCATAGCTGCAGTGCACAACAAGGCAGCTATAACAATTACATTAGCTGATTCTCTGCTTGTCTCTAACAACTGATTTCTTTCAGTCCCCAGCCTTGAAGGTGAGATGAGGGGAATACAAATTCCTCAGTAAGTTCTGCATTTTTAATCCTTCTTCCAGAATTAAGACTCAAAACCCGTGCATATGAATACATTAAAATTAATCCTCAAGTTTTGGCCAGCAATTATAATCAATTCCAACATGTTTTGCTCTGATCACAAATGCTGTTAAAGTTAGGGTCTACTCTGTCTTTGCAGTGCAGTGTTAAGAGGTTCTTTGTGTGGGTTTTAATGTCTGGAAGAAAAAATTCTAAACACTTCACCATGATGATGTCGTTCTGTATCATATTGTTTTCTGTGTGTGGTGACAGCCAAAAGAGTGACACAAAAAAGGCACCTTAACTAGCAGATCTGCTTCCTGTATGTCTTTGAGTCATACTCTCCAACTCTACTGGCAAAAACAAGCCTTTTCTACTGTTAGCACTGTAGCCAGAACAGCTCAAAGCGCAAATTGCAGCCTACTCCGGATAATATACAAACACTGTCATTTAAGTCCCCCTTATGAAATCACTGTCACTATCACAAGAACTAGAAAGCATAATATGATTATCAGACTGCTTTCTGAGTTTTCAGAACATTTAGATAGGAAAAAAATCACCTTCTGATTCGTGAATGCCACTTAAGTAGTACCTTATAATATGCAAAATACTTATGGGCAACAAAGAAATAGGAAACCCATGCAATCAGCTTTTTACTATGGCCCAGTTTCTAAGGAAATGAATACTCTTTGAAATTAACTCATCTGTTTAAATGAGAGAAACAGAATATAGCAACAATGAAATATAGAAGAAAGTACCTGCTATGCCATTTTCATTCCCTGTGCAAGTTTTGCTACAGAAAAAAAACACAGAAAAACCAGCGCTAATCAATGTTTCCACTTAATGGCAATAAAACAGCAAAATCAGCTACTGTTACTTTTGTGGTCTCAAGCAATTATTCAAAAGTTCTTATTTCAAAATCACTTTGCCAATCAGAAACACGACTCTGAAAGACACACAGCCCTTCTCTACAACTCCTCTTCCCCCTGCACCCTTTCCCCAGCCTCTTTTAATTTGGACTGCAAGTATTAAATGTTGGCTTTATCCAGGGTGATAGCAGAACTCCTGCTGTATCAACAGGCCCAGGATTTTCACCTGACTTTCCACCACCGTACATTTCAGGTTTTATTGGAGTGACTACTTACTTCCATGGGGCAGCAATGCAAGTACATAAAACACAATGCCTAGCTAAGTTTAATGCCTCTTCACGCCTGTGCACAGAACTTCCACAGATCTGTTTTGCCAAGGCTCAGGACAGGCACACTCACAGGTGCAAACAGCATTACAGAGCTCAGTTTGCTGCTCACGTGCTGTGAATGACTCCCTAGCTCCAACACGGGCAGTTCAGCCTTCTCGTGCTGGCTGGAGTGCCCATGAGTGCAGGGTGAGAGCACTGGGTAACAACACAAGGAAACATCTGCCTATTTTTTTCCCTTTTTCTGACTCTGATGTAAGTCAGTTACAATTTTTTACAAACACATTGTAAAGAACATATTCTACCGGCAACAGAAAAGAAAAAGATGAAGAAGCAACCCTGTGGCAAAAGGGGAGTCAGGAGATCCGGATACGGACAAATCCCACTCCCCACTCCATGCAAAGGGTCCCGCCTGCTTCCCAGGGAGAGCAACTCCACTACAAGTGTGTATCATCTGAGCAAACAGGCACATGGATGTGCATGTACACACAGAAATACAGATCATTTCCACAAGAGGTGAGTCCTCAAATCCAAAATTCCTGTCATTAATACAGAGCAAGGCATTAGCTTAACGTGAGAGCAAGGAAGGAAGATCTGCAGGTCAGGTGTTGTGGAGCATTTTGTAGTCCTGATGATGAAGTAACAGACATGTAACTTATTTAATGGGTAGTGTTCAAAGGCTATCTTTCCGTGCTTGTGTCTCTAAAAGCAAGGAAAATATTACCTACATCGTAGGATGGATTTCAGGGCAAGGCTAGTAAATATTTATGAGAGCCATAAAGTTTGTCAGATAAACTACACTTCAGAAAGACAAAATGTTACTGCTAGGCTGCCAGATCCACAGAGATGCCAAGTTTCTACAAATCTCACCAGATCCAGCATTTTTTTTCTACAGAGGTTCATATTTTCTCTGAAAAAAAAATCAGAAATAGATTTGGTTTTAAACCACCTACACACTGAATATACAGAAGTTATTTCTCTTTCTTATTTTTCATTCATAATTAGATCTACTCATGACTATAACAAGATCTTCCTTGTACACTTATAAATAATTGTGCAGAGTAACTAGTGGATATACAAAGGATGTTTTGATAGCCTAGGCTCCTCCACCAGGCAAGACAAGCATCACACTGGTATGAAAACACAGTGCTGTAACACTGCATGGGTACCTGACTGCACCAGGTAAGATCTGCCAGCAACAGCCTCAGATCCTGCCAGGTGTGAGCTCCCTTCTGTACCACACACCATCCTACGGGCTGGGAAAGCCCAAGAAAAGGGAGGACATGCTTTGGCAGGACTGAACCCTGCACACGGCTGTACAGCAGACATATTTCTAGAGTACCCATGTCAGTGTCCCTGTCCCTGTCCGTGAGTGGGCAGTGGGATCTGCCCCTTTCCCTGACTGGACTTCCCCAGGGAGGAGATGCTGCCACTTCTCCTGCCACTCTCAGCAGTTTCACCCCACGGTGCTTCCCAATATCGGAGCTCCCTGTCCTGTCTCACACTGCGCCTCCTCTCACATGGGGGTTCTGCAGCTCCCTGAGGGCCTGTTTATAGAATCATAGAATATTAAGGGGTTGGAATGGGTATTAAAGTTCATCTAGTCCCAAACCTCGGCCGTGGGCAGGGAGACCTGCCACTAGACCACTAGGTTGCTCAAGGCCTTATCCAACCTGGCCTTGAACACTTACAGGGATGGGGCATCCACAGCTTCTCTGGACAAGCTGTGTCAGTGCCTCACCATCCTCATGGTAAAGAACTTCTATATTATCTAACCTAGGTTTCCCCTCTTTCAATGTGTGCCTATTACTCCTTGTCCTATGACTACAGTTCCTGACAAAGAGTCCCTCTCAAGCTTCCCTGTGGGCTCCCTTCGGATACTGGAAGGTTGCTACGAGGAAAACCTTTCTCTTCTCCAGGCTGAACGGCCCCAACTTCCTCAGCCTGTCTTCGTAGGGGATGTGCACCAATCGTCTTACCAACTTCGTGGCCCCCTCTGGACTTGCTCCCACAGTTCTATGGCCTGCTTATGTTGGGGACACCAGAACCGTACACAGTGCTCCGGGTGGGGTCTCACAAGAAGACGAGGAGCGCTCCAAGCCGCGGGGGCTGCTCCGATCCCGGGAGGACGGCGGGGTCGCCACGGGGGCAGGGACTGAGTCCCGGGAGGGCAGGAGCCGATCCCCATAGGGATCAGGGGCCGATTCTGGGGACTGCGGGGTTGGCACAGGGGCAGGGGCCGATCCCGGGAGGGCAGGAGCCGCTCCCCATAGCGTTCGAGGCCGATCCCCCGGGGACTGCGGGGTTGGCACAGGGGCAGGAGCCGATCCCGGGAGGGCAGGAGCCGATCTCCATAGGGATCAGGGGCCGATCCCCCGGGGCCTGCGGGGTTGGCACAGGGGCAGGAGCCGATCCCCATAGGGATCAGGGGCCGATCCCCCGGGGACTGCGGGGTTGGCACAGGGGCAGGGGCCGATCCCCAGGAGGGCAGGGCCGGTGCCGGCCCCGCGGCCCCCGCACACGCCGGGCGGGGGGCGGGACCTTCCGGTTCATGTCGGCGCTGGGCTGGCGCGGAGGAGCTGCGCGGCCATCTTGGCTCGTCCGGGAGCGGCGGCGGGGCGGGCGGGGGGCAGGCAGGGAAGGAGGGAGCGGCGGGCGGGCACCGAACCACCCGGCACCCACCCAGCGTCCGCAGCCCGCGGGGCGCCGGCCTGCTTGGAGCCTGGCGAGGGCGGCGATGCGAGCGGCGGCGCGGTGAAGCGGGGCCGCGGCGGGGGAAGGAGAGGGCAGCCCCCCGGGCGGCGGGCCTGCGCTAGCCGTGCCCCGGCGGCGGCGGCGAGAAACCGGGCTGCGCGGCGTCCCCGCTGCCGCCTCCTCCCCGCCCGCCCTGCGCTCACCCCCTCCCCCCCGGAGCCGCTCCCTCGCCGCCTCCCTTCCCTCGGCTCCATCCCTTCCCCCGGCTGCATCTCCTCCCCGCTGGATGAGGCGCCCCCCTCCCCGCTGCTGACCCCCGCGGACCCCGGCTGTAGGATGAGCCCGCGGGACTCGGAGGGGGCGAGGCCGCTCCGCTCCCCGAGGAGGATCTAGTGGGGGGGCACCGACGCGACGCCGCCCCCCCGCCAAGCACCTTGTCCTTCATGGTGGCTCCCTGCGACCACCATCTCGGAGCAGACGCGCAGCCCGGGGCCCGTGTGTGTGTCTGTGCGCGCCGCCGCCGCGGCCGCCCGAGTGAGGGAAAATGTCCACTCGGACTCCATTGCCCACGGTGAACGAGCGCGACACCGAGAACGTGAGTACCGCGGCCGCGGGGGACCCTCCGCTCCGCACCGCACCGCACCCCGCCCGGCCCCGCACCGCGCCCGCCCGGCCCGGGGGGCATCGCCCCGCGGGGCGCTGTCATGGACCTCCCGCCGCCTGTGCCCTGCCCAGATCACCGATGTGTTCGGAATCGATTATTTTTTAACCCCTTTCACAGCGCGGTTCGCATGTTCCGTGGCATTTGCGGGCATCCCTTCCCTTCCCCCCCGCCTTCCCCAGCCCCAACCCCGGTGTCCCCTCTTTAATTCCCCTTCTGCTATTCGAGTATCTCCGGGTGGCGGGGATCGGGCTGGTTATGTCGGTGGCGGGGATCGGCTGTGGAGAGGGGGGTTCTGGGGGGCTGCTGCCTTCTCCTAATATGCAAACTTGCAGCTAAAGCAGCCGAATAAACCTCTGGTAAACAGATGGGAATAATTCAGCTCGGGTAGGGGTGGGCTAGGTGACCTAGATAATAGGCCTCTTCCCTGCTTAATTTGCAGGGTTCTCGGTGGTAATGACGCTGTTAGGCTAGTCACCTGTTCAGATGACATTAAAAGGGTTTCTTTATTGGAATTACCTTCCGCACAAGGGAGCCTTTTCCTTCCCTCCCCCCCCTCCCGTTTTTTTTGTTTGGTGTTGTTTTTTGGGTTTTTTACCTTGACAAAGCTAAGGTTTAGGAATTGACACTTTATTTACGAGATTAAATCAGACAGTGTATTAACAATCACAAAGGTCGTATGCTAAAGGAAGAAAGAAAAAAAAAAAAGTAGTCCTACCACATGAGCATATAGCCACAAACGAAGCTCGGTAAGGAGACTCCCTTTCTGCAGATAGGAACTGTATTTCTTCCAAGTTAAAACTTACTTGATCCTGGTGTATCCTGTCTAACCATTTTTTCTGCATAGGCTCTGACATGTCCCCAGATGATAAACAGAAGGGAGTTGTCACTCACTGTAGTCTAAAATGAGTAGATTGGTGAACTTTGTGTTTGGCTTTTTGTAAAGGCTATGTGATATTCTTCACAAGGCAGATGCTAAGCTTGACAGAGGAGGCTTTTTTTTTTTTTTTTTTTTTTGGACAGGTTTCTTATGTTTTGGACTGGCATAAAAGGTGGAAACTTTGGTTAAAGATCAGGAAAAACTGTTGGATTGTTCCAGACCATAAATAGTCCGAGAAAAGTGATGGTAGCCCCATTGTTTAAAACAAGACCAGACAAAGCGTTAGAAAACATGCTGCATGGAACAATTACTGCATTACTAGGGATTTAGATTTTATTGACATAATAGGCACTTCTAACTTCTGTGATCTTTATTTGTTTTAGCACTACATGCAACCTGCAGGCTAAGGGCTGTATTGAGCAAAAAGCCAACTAAGCATATTTGGTTGTAAAATCTCAATGAGCTTCCTGTCTTGTGGAAGAAAATAATTAAAATATTATGCGGCCCTTCCTATGCCATGGGGAGAGTCGAAGTTGAAACATACTCTACAAAATACTATACAGAGTTTATTTGGATAATTGTTTTAGTCTGTAAGCAGACCTGACTGAGGTTTTCAAGCTCCATGTGAGTGTGTGGAGGCCACACAGTAAATCATTTTAGAAAGCGTTCAGATGAGATTCCCCAGTTAATTCAAATTCTAGTGTGGATAATCTAATGGTGGAAAGACTTATTATGTGCTTGAGGAAACATAATTATTCACAAGCTGTGTGTTCTAGCACTTGAAGTCAGATTTTACATGTCTTCCACTTAAGGCACCTTATTCTCACTTCAGAATATTGGTCTAACACTTCTCTTTAGTAATCTTCATAATTTAACATCCATAGATTGTGTTGCTTGCAGATGAACTGCCTTAGGTTTAGGTTAAGGCATATTTTTCAAGTGCTGTAATCTGTGCTGGTGACCACAGAAATACCTGTAGGTAGTGATATTGACAGGGAGTGATTAATCTGAGTACTCAACAAATCCATTGAACCAAGGCCCATAATATGCAACAGCATATCCCTCAGGAAGCTCTCTCAGATATCGTGGGCATCAGTTATCTAGAAATTTTCTAAACCATGTGCTGTTCAACCTTGCTTAAAACTAAGTTTAAATGTGACATTTAGTCTGTCTGAATTACCCCTACGGCTGTGAACAGGCCAGGTCTCTTTTGATACCAAATGTGATGACTTTGTTACTTCATCTTAACTGTTCATCCACCCCAAATCTGAGCGTGTTGTTCATCCACCCCAAATCTGAGCGGCAGGTAAATTGAGCCCTTGATTCTCGTTCACATAAGAGAGGTCTAATTAGTTAATATTCAGAGGAGTCTTTGAAGCGGCTTAGGAGGTGCCAAGGTATTCAGCTAGCCTTTGGGCCATGGTTGCGGACCCCATTTACTGCCTTCTCTGCTTGGAAGGCTACCACTGCTGACAAAGGCTTGGCTGGTGTTGGATCTGATTGAAGCATGCTGATCATAGCTTATCCATGCCTATACTTGCAATTTTGAAAATGAAGTTAGCCTCCAGAATGACAGTGAGCGTAAATTATCATTGTCTGTGCTTGCAATTAACCACGTTGAGCAGTTGGCAACTCCTGTTGAATAAGAAAGGTCTAATTGTCAGTACTTGGTGTTTGTTTTTTTTTCTTCTTTCTAAGGGTTTTTATCAAGACATGTACTGCTGAAGTGGAAATACTGTCACAGTGACTTTCCCCAAAAGCTACTCAGAGCTATCAAGGCTTTGGTGCCTTTGAGATTAAAGAATTTGGCTCCGAGTCACCTGGTTTTGAGAGGAAAGGCATCCCAGATGATCTGTGATCATAGGAACTTCACACTTGGACAGTTGGAAGCTGGCTGTTGGCCTGCGATGAGCTGGCTTCTCACCGCAGAGATAGAGCAGCTCCTCTCTGGCCATGTCTTGTGCAGCAGTGGCTGCCAGCTGCTGAGGGGGTGCAGAAGTGCATGAGAGGATTAGATCTTTTCTGTCTTCCTCAGAAATATGTCCTGCATGTGAGAGAAAAAGCACAAGAGAGAGAGCAGAGACCTCCTTCATCCAAACCTGGGAGACAGGGTAGATGCAGAAGAAGGACTTTAGATGACAGAGGAATGAGTAAACCTGTTCTACTAGTGATGAGAAGGGAGGGAGAGAAGATGGAGGAGAAGTGTGGAAACACAAAGGGAAAGGAAAATAGATGGTGGAAAACAAAAGATAAGAAGAGGCACAGGGGAATGTGCATGTGGCAGGATGGAGGACAAGCAGTGACAAAGAAATAGGAGCAGAAGGAGCAAGATTGTGAGGAGTAGGACAACTATTCATTAAAAAAAAATATTCAGGGAGTGGGAAGATGGTAGCAAACTATAGATAGAAACAAGGAAATACAGGTTCTATGGAGGTTGGAAGATTTTTGTTTTTCAGGAGTGTGAAACAGAAAAGAAAAACCTTGGACTAAACTGTTTAATTAAAACCTTCATGTTCATTGCACAGCTGTGTTTTTTTGGGGGCAGAAAAGGTAACTGCTTTGAATGTGTCAATTCTGCAGGCCAATCTGAATTAAAAATTTAGGTAATTTAAGGAAAAGCAAGACTAAAATATACTCTCATCTCCATGACTGTGCCTAATGTGAAAAATTTGCTATTGAAAAATGCCAGCATGATGGCAACTGTGCTTGCACAAGACTATACAAAAGGATTCTGTGCAGCAGAAGTATCACTTTCTCTTTTTTTTTTTAATTTAAAAAGGTTTAGTAAAGGCAGCCTTAGGTGCAAAAATGTAATTTTAAGATACTGTGAAGGTTAGTGCAGTATATCTTGGTTTATTACCAATTAACTATGAAGTGCATTAGAGCATTTGCAGACAATATGCAGGCTTGCATTGTTCTATATATTATTTATCAGTCTTCTCCTATTACAAATATATCTGTAATTGGAATGCTTTCTTCCGTAGCATGAAATCCTGTGTGTTTTTTTAAAAGAAGGGGCTGAGAAGGGAAGTGTTTCTGTGGCCAAAAGTTCTGATAGATTTTCTTCTACAGGACCATCTGCATTTTTCCATATTTTTTACCAGTTCTAATAAATATTCTGGTTTGAATTAAATCAGGTGAAAGTGGCAAAATAACTAGAAACAAAAAATATTCTAGGAATTCAATTGGGATGTGTTTTATTCGTTCCAACCTTTCACAGACTAGGAAAATGCTTTTTTTGGGTGCATTTCTTACTGCCTGGGGTGCCTGGTAGGCCTGGTCCTGTGTTTGTACTCAAAAAATACCTAGTGGTGTTGCATGACATTGCGAGTCACTGGCTGCTAGTATTTTCACATTTTAAAGTGGGCAGTTTCATTCTTCAGCTGTGCTAAACAGCCTGTGCTGAGGTGTTTAATCACTTGGTTTCAGTCAGCTCGAACTGATGGGAGGCTGCTGGGGGCATCAGCCTCAGCTACCTCTTCCCACCCGCGGTTTGTGCCGGCACTGATTACTGTGGGGCTGCCTGACGGGTCTGGTCAGCTCTGATCTGACTGAAATAAACCCTTAAGAAAAGGTGGGTTTATCCCCATTCTGTGTGGCTTCAGATAACTGACACAGAGGAGAATGGGAGTGTCCAGTTCAGGTGGGGGAGGGTTAGAAATGCTTCTTACTATTTTTGTTTTGGTTTAAATTAAGGCAGTTGTGGCACAACTCGAGTTACCTTAGCCCTCCCTAGAGTGCTGTTCTACAACTACAGGCAGATATAGAAGTACAATGATGCCTCTTTCACCAATTGTGTTCTGCTCCTGGAAAAATCTTTTTTTTTTCTCTTCCCTTTTTTCCATTATTTCAGTAATTCAGAATAGCTAGGCTGCAAGACCTTACTCCAGAGGTTGTTAAAAAGTCAGGCTTAGTTCATTAGCACCACTGAATGTGACTTTTATGGTAGTCACATTTAGAAGTAGCAGTCTGAAAAACAGAACACAACTACAGAAATTATTGAAAGAAGATAAACAAAAGGAAACAGGTGAGTTGTACCCACTCACCTGGTATCCTTACCTGCTCAATTCTCCATTTTAGTTCCAGTCAAAAGACATATTCCTGTTGATGTAAGCAGACAGTTCCTGTTGACAACATGTCTCAGGTGACTCAAGTCAAAGGAATTCTAAGAGTGGAGGCATTTGTCTCCCCAGATCTCCATTTCATATGATATATAAGTAGCATGTGTCTGCAGCTTCCTCTTCTCAGTCAAGTAATGCTGCCTCATGGATGTCAGCCAGATCAAAAATGGAGGTCACCTTTTTTTTTTTTTAGGCTCATGGCTTATCAAGGTTGACTCTTCTTAGTGTGGAGATCATCTGCCACTAAAAATCTCTAGAAAATATGGTAAAGAGATGCTTACTGCTCTTAAAATACAAACCTGAAAGATAGTGATTGTACCTGTGGTAATGCTCCAATCAGCCTCCTGGATGAAACCCTTGAGTTAAGACAAATTTTTGGCCCATAAAGCAGCAGGTTGTTGAGCTCTGTGTGTGTATTATATGTATATATATACATATAAACAGAAACTGACTTTCAAGTAAAATTTGTTCTTTCAGGGTTAAAGCCTAAACAAAGTTTTCTGTCTGCAAGCTCTATATAGTCTTTGAAAACCAACTGTGAGGTTTTGGTGCCTTTTTTTTTTTTTTTTTTTTTTTTGTTTAGGATGTAATTACTGACAGTGATGATTCTGGAAACAACTTAGTTGGCAGTATTGTTGATGAAGAACAGAATATGGTTGGCTCTTCAGCTATTATTCCCCAGGCTGATGTCAATAAATATCCATTTTAATCATCAGTAAAGAAACTTTTGGCTGGAAAGATATGATGAGTGTCAGATCTTGATAATGTGAAGAAACAAAAGAGCTTTTAAAGAGCTTTTCTAACCGGCACCAGACTTATCTTTTTGATTATATAAGCAGGATTTCTTCACTGTTGTGTTGTTCAGTGCTAATCATGGAATTACAGATTCACTCTCTTTCATATGCTCTATAGAGTACAAACCAAATGATGTCAAACATGTCACAGAGTCTGTAGAGGTTTTACGTGGAAGGGACCCTCTGTGTCTGCAGAGGGGAGCATCCTTCCCTCACTGAAGGCCTAATGCTTGGTTGTTGGCACTGTCTGACTCTGATCTTCAGGGCAGTGGTGCACTTGTCACTAGCAATTCCCACTGCAGTTCCGCCACTGGTCAGTGGCTGGAATTGTGAGTGTGCGAGTGTTGCTTTGGGTAGCAATGCTCCCTCTGCCAGGTGAAAGTGTCCTGTGTCTGTACTGTCCATCTTCATCAGGCTGCTCGGTTTGACCTGCAGCTGTTGTGTCCTGTTTTTTTCCTTTATTTCACCTTCCCTGATGAGGTTTGGAAGAATTAGGAATGTGTATCAAAAAGGTATAGCTTGTGTGTGCTAAAGACTATTTACTCCTCAGGTTCTCCCTTTAAACTGATTGTTTGACAGATACAACCTAATTAAACTAGCCACTCGTTTTCATGAAGTGTCATACCAGTTACATGAATAAATACTATGACAGGCACAATAAAACCTTCCCCTTTTGACAGTGGAACATCCAAGTTATTGTTTTCTCTCCCTTAACATCTATGTTATATTTCTGTTGTCTCCCTTGCTGAATTCTGACACTTTCAGTTGTTCCACTCGATCACAGCATCCATACTGGTAGGGCTGTAGCCCACTTCAGTGATTAAGTCTGCCCTCATGGATTGATAACTTTAGTGCCACATTGGGTAGCATTTTTCTTTGTGGGAGAGCATTTAAAATTTTGTGAGATGGAAGCCATGACTGTTTACCCTTAAGATTGATTATGTAGCAAGCTAGTCTAAAAACTACCTTTTAATTATATGTGCTGGAACCAAATAATTGGGTATGCAGACATCAACATCTGCATACTAGGTCTGACAAAATCCTCCTTGCTCCATGTCCTGATTTGTGCCCTGGTCAGTGGTAGGAGGGAAGTAAAATCAGGACAAGGACAGGCCATCTTCCCCTTATGTGTTCCTGTTTTATCTTCAAGGAAAATAATGCAGTATTTTATAGTATAGGTTGACTTAGGAATTCCCAGAGCAGTAACTGGTGTATAAACAATTGTGGTTGAGTGTTTGCTGTGACACCTCTTGGTGGTTGCCAGAAATGTAAGTCTCTGTTTTGACTTTCCAGTAGAATTCCTTCGTCAGCAGTCGCAGGATGCCCTGCTGTTCTGTTTCAGGGATATCTCTGCTCAATAAGATGCTACCTCTGTGAATATCCTTAGGGGTACCTTTTTTCTCTTACAATGAGTAGTACTCAGCAGTCTGTGTGTTCTTTAAAGACTTTAATGATAAATGGGAAGTAAAATTCAACACACTGTTGGGAAGGGCTGTAATGAAATTTTGTCTTTGCATGTTTAGTTTAAAATATTTTTTAATTTTTAAAAAACTATGGTATGTTTTCCTGATAAGTTTTTCTATAAATAAGAGTGCAGTTGGGGAGTGCACAGCCAGAAATTACCATCTATTTATATACTGTGTGCCCAGGTTAAGGTAATGAAGCAGTTTAGTCTCAAATGTTCATCGTGTCCTGGAATGCTTATATTATTAACGTTTTAAGGTATAGGTTTTAAGTACAGTTTTTTCTTACTATAATTAAAAATGCTGAATTGAGTGAGGCTATCATGATTGTTACTAGTCTGACAGCTTTCCAAGAAATTTTATAATATCACTTCGCAGTATTTCATACAGAGATGAGGTAACAACTAAGGTAATAAACATTCCTAGATATTTTTGTAAGATTAAACTTTATTAGTTCATTTTGGCTGATGAGAAGGTAGTTTTCCCTATTGTATTAAAAATACTTTAAAAAAAAAAAAAGTTGATGCCATTTGTCCTCCCTGTTTTAGAAAGTGTTTCCTACTTTCTGTAAATAAACATGGATTTTTTTGCAGGTCTTGGATATTCTGATTTCTTACTGTTTTTCAACGTTTCAAATGGATATCAGATTCTGTCTCTTTCAGGTTTTTCTCAACTGTTGGCATCTTCTTAAGCAGTTCAAGAACTTTGATACTAGTCATCCTCTGCCCTGTGTGTTTCTAATGCTCTGAATGACAAGATACCTGAAATCATAAAGATACAGGATAAAACTAACACCTACCGAAATGATTTCAGTTGTCAACACCTTCATACTTCATTTGCTTTTTTACTTTTTTTCCTTTTCTTTTTCTTTCTCTTCATGCTAATCATTTTCTGGCTATGAAAGGATGTCGGCTCATCATTGGGGGAAGGCTTTTGCGAAAAGGTGGGTTTTGTGTTGTGTTCCAAATGTAGTTGGTCTTAGGTTCAATCCCTCCCTCGCAGTAAGGACTCCCACAAATGGAGATGTTTTACTCCTGTTTCCTTCTGGGTTGAGTAATAACAGGGTGGAGCTGGGAGGTGGGGAGGAGAATGTTTTGTTTTTATGAGAAGGGTTGTCTTGTTGGCTTGAAAATGGATAGTGAAAAACAACAAACCACCCTTTAAAGTATTTAAGAGACCTTGAAATGAAACCGGATGCACGCCAAGATGTGGAAGAAAGTGCATTCTTGTCTTGAGTGGATTTCAGGGGACCTTTTAAAAGAGGCGGTGACTGGCTAACCTGAAGTCACATGAAGTACTCAATCTCATTGATTTGGTCCCCCATCTACAGCATAATGGTCTTGCTTTGTGTAGAGACAAATATTTTGGGAATCACTCAGCCATGGTGAGTGTCATGAGTGAGTGTTATTCTTATGCAGAATGCACCTCCAGGAGATACAGCTCACCTACCACAATGTATGGAAACTTATTACAAATAAACACGTGCTCGTTTTGAATGTTATGTTTTTTAAGACAAACCCCACATCTTCTTGAAGTCAAATAAATGTGAACCTGGGAAAGAAGTGTGAAACTGAACAGAGTTTTTGGGGGTCAGTGCAGTGAGGGAGGCAAAATCAACAGAGTTGAGGGTCTACCTGGGAAAAGACAAATGACCTGCATCTCAACTTGGAGAGTAGAGGATGCTATTACTGTTTCTCCAGGCTGTGAGTGCTGCTGTTAATCTGTTTGCTGAGGAAACTGCCCAGGGAAGTACCCGAGTATAGACAGGTGCTATACAAGCCAATGTGTGATTTTAAGTTCTCCTGGACCCACCTGTATTTTGCTTTGTGCCTACACCATTTAGCTTCCCATCTACCTATCACAGCTTCTTGAAAATTATTTGGTTGGGAGAAACACTTTCACTCAGTTTTGAGTTTATGTTCTTCTTCCTTCATTTCCATATGCAAAAGAAAATCCATGTTGAAATGGAGAATGTGTTTTCTATGGTTTTTAGAAAACTTGGGGTTCTGTTCAATATAATAATATGTCTGACAGAAGAAGGACTTGCTGATAGATTTATTTATGTGAAGTGAAATAAAGTCCAAATTAGATATGGTTACAAATGGCTGGATTTCTACAGAGTGAAACACAATCATGAGCAAGTCCGTTGGAGAGAACTGAACTGCTTGGGAACGCACAGCTTGATACTCAAAAACCACAGCTCAAAAAGGTCATATTCTTGAAAAGAATTAATCTGGGTTAGGGTGGAAATGCAAACCTCCATACAAGGAGATTGTGCTCAGTTTATCAGAGCTAGTCCAAATGAGTTCACAGCTGTCAATTCTACCCTTTAAGTGCAAAGCTAGGAAGCATGGAGAAGAAAAATTATAGGTCACAAGAAGTCATTTCTCAACAGAGGACAGTGAAGCTCTCAAGATGTATTAACTGGGTGGTTTACTATGTGGAATACAGTTTGTTAGTATAACAATTTTTCTTTTGCCTGATATTGTTTATATAAAGTTGGATAAGACTAAGATCAGTTCTGAATAACTTGTGCTCAGGTCCTCTGGTTTGGGAATAGGTGGTACCTGATGCCCACATCTCAACAGCCTCATAGGCTAGCTCAGGACTAACATGATGTATCAGTCCAAGCACAAGACAATGCAGATGCAGATACTCTGTTTTCAGAGCGAGTTGTGTGGTTCAAAAGCAACCTGTTCGTTGAACCTGTCTGCTGGAGAGCCTAAGCTAACAAGCCCTGCTGGGAGGCAGGCTGGCTCCTGCTAAAACCAGCTCCTGCACCTGTGCAAGTGCCTGGGTGTGGAAGGGCTTTAGTCTGAATAGTTCTGATACACTTCTTTTCCCAAGGAGTTATCAACTCAGTGTAGTGCAGAGTAAGAAGTACAGTTGTATTCCTGGGATGCTGTACTTGAACTGAAATGAGCCTCTAATATATCCAAGAAATAACCTCGTGGCCCTGTACGGAACATCCCGGTCTATGAGCACGGCAGGTAGCAATGCAGGAGGATGTTAGCATCTAGCATCAGCAGTTGCTGCTTTTTTTCTACCTGGTCTGAATAATTTGATACTAGAAGGTATGAAAGGAGCTGACAGAGAAGTTCTCTGCAATGTGTATTGCAAGGTTTGTTAGAAGTCAAAGTTTGGGGAAGTGTAGGGATTTGACATGGTATTGCCAATACACTCAGTTACTAAGATGGCCTGAACAACCAGCACCAGCCTGACATTAAGGACATGCAAAATACTGAAATTGTTGATACAGGATTTCACTGGCTTTAGTAGTTCCTTCAGCTGGTGACTACTCTTGTTCTTCCTCTCCTTGAGAACTACTGATTCGTAAGCACCCAATTGTTGTAGGTCTCAAAATATTATTGAGAACACTGAATTGTTATCAAGACTTAAATTTTTAGTGGATATTGTTACAGATGTGCTTCTTGTTCTTGTGCCAGTTATTAGTGGTTGGGAAGGAATGTTTACTCCTGCTCCTGAAAACTAGGATACAGATTGCTAGAATATGAAATAGGGCAGGATGGGCAAATCATTAGGAACATTTAGTATCCTGCATGAAAGGAAACTGTGTTTCACTTCAGCCAAATGTGCAATCATGCATGTAAGGATCCAGGAGTGAAAGTCATGTTGTGGTAAGGGAATGGGAAGCAATAACTCCTGAAGACTTAGGATCAGTGTTTGGTGGTCAGTTACAGATGGTTTTCTGCCGAGAGGGTTAGTTCTACCCATGTAAAATCAGTCGGGTGTTGAAGAGAAGGTGCAGTCTCTGGGTTTAGTCCTACTGCACCTACTGTTGGTATGGCATGTCCATCTCTAGCGTAAGCCCCACAAAAAGATGTTTGAAAAATAGTAGAGAGTTCTGAACGCAGGTACAGGAAATGTTTCCTTGTCTTTAATCATTCTTACAGCAGCACGTTTAGGGAGCTCAATGTACTTCACTTATTAAAGTGAAGGGGTATTGTGGTCATAGAAAATAAGTACCTATATGGGAAATACAAATCTGGTGGCAATGCACTAACCAGGGCAGTAAGGAGAAGCTAAAGCCAGATTGATTAGTAAAACATTATATACACCACAGTGTGTGTGTTTTTTGAAACAATAACTATTTAAACAGTCTTACAGGAGTTGCCATAGACTTCTCTCAGTAGTACTTCTTAGATGAAATGAATGTGTTTTTAAAAGTAATTTGATCACAGCTGCTGCACTCAAGTTAACAAACCAGGGAACCTAAGATGCCAGAGTATATGGTCACAGGGTTACATCAGGTTATTAAATAGAGTGTGAACTTGCCAAGTGTCATGCAAGCACGGATTTGTTCATTTGTGCCTGTACCATGGTTGTTAGCTCTTGAGGTATGATCTCATCTTCATGCTACAATGATTTTCAGACTAAATGTTTCTGTATGCCAGTTCCTTGGTTGTCCCCATTGGGTTTCAGCAAGAGGAGGAGGAGTAGAAGAGCAAGATCTGGGGTTTCTGGGTTGACTCTGAATTTATTGCATCATCTGTGGTGGAGCCAGATATTTGTTCCATGTTTGCAGGATGCTGAGTATTTCTAATACTTTAATTAGTGAAGTTGGTGTATAGGCCTCAACCATGATTTAAGGACATAAGGAGACCTGCTTTTTCATAAACAGGCTGTGAGGAAATGAAAAAATACTTTAATCTTAACCATGTGATTTAATGAATAAAGATTAGTATAGGTATGATATATACCCATTTATTTTTGCAATTAATAGCTGTTCTGGGAAACTGAGTGAAAGGAACTTAACAGATTGCAGACAGTGTCTCAGATCTCTGTAACTGGTTCTCAGCCTGTCAGTGTCTGAGATTTCTGTACTTTAGGTAAGATTTCTTTCCTCCTTCTACAAGCTGTCCTGGGTATTTTCAGTTGTGGTTTTGTAGGAACAAAAGTATAGTACAAGAGTTTTTTCTAATAAAAAAAACCCCTTTTATTAGATTTTCAGTAGTATTAAGTTGTCCAGTAAGGGTTAACATTTTGTGCTCTTCTTGGTAAAGCTTATCTTTTGTGTTTCTTCTCCAAAGGCTTTCCTACACTAGTTAGGACAGTAGTGCAAATGGGAAATAATATCAAACACCTCCATGTTTTGTAACTGATTTGGCAGTCCACTTAAGTTCCTAAAAGTGCTCGACTGCTGCTGCAGTTGGGGTGATGCTCCACTTGGTTTTTACCAGGTGATGAAATGGATATTGTGTTACCAACTGGGAACGTCTTTATTGCCCCCATCAGGGCAAAGTTCAGTGTGAACCTAAAGTTTGAGCTGGATCATTTGAGGATTTCCCCAAAGGCCTTGCTAATGCTTTTGAATGTTGTGTGCTTGTCATCATTGGTGTGTTTGGTCTGTATTTCTCAGCCTTATTACCTGCGTGTGTTTTTGTTGCAGCACACGTCCCATGGAGACGGACGGCAGGAAGTTTCCTCCCGAACTGGGCGCTCTGGAGCTCGCTGCAGGAACTCCATAGCCTCCTGTGCGGATGAGCAGCCGCACATTGGAAATTACAGACTCCTTAAAACCATTGGAAAGGGGAATTTTGCAAAGGTGAAACTGGCAAGGCACATCCTAACTGGCAGAGAGGTAAGGTGTAACGGGTGTAAAGAGCAATGAATTGCTGTAGGTGGGCAGGTTCTCTAAGAGTTAAAATCATCTCAAGTTGATGAACATAGAGTACATTTTGCTAGAGATATTGCTACTGATGTAGAAAAAAGTGGAAATTGAGAACTGTAATTTTTAGTGATTATGACAATGTTTAGTAATGATTCTCTTGAAAATGTTCTGTTGAATTTGTATTTTTCACAAGTCCCTGTCCAGCTGAATTGTGTTAAAGTTTGCTACTTGTATTCTTGGCTAAATTCTCCATTTTCAAAAAAGAGATGAATATACAGCAACTAAAAAAACTTGCTGGAAATTGCTGGAAAGACTTCCTCTTGGTGTCTCTATGCTGCACAGTCCAGGGCTATATTCAAGGGGAAGTCAGGAATGAGAACTAAATATCATCTTGATTACAGTGCAAGTAGCCCAAATGCAGTATTTTCTCGACCAAAGCAATGTGTCTCCCAGGAGTTCTGCTGGTGTCTGTAGTGCTGGGCAGCTTTGGGAAGATGCTCAGAAATTTGTTCAGAGACAGTTTATGTGTCTCACTCAGTGTGTGTGGTATAGACAAGCTTTCTCTGTTATCTCCTTATAGTGTCTAACTCAACTCCATAATTAGTTTCTGCATGCCATTGCAATGTAATTAACCATTTGGGCTTAATGGTGTTTCTGATTTGGTGAGCTATAGCCCTGTTTGCTTGTTACAAGAGGGTGTTTCTTGGTACTATTTTATTAATAGCAACTCTTAAGTACTAAAAGAGGGAGAAACACCTTGCTGACCTTTTCTTGCGAAAGCTGTCTAATGAAGTAAATGTTTACTGATACCGGCAAGGGCTTTTACAGAAAGCTATGTGGCTGACTGCAGTGCTTTAAGGGAATTTCTCTTTTCTGGACTAGTGCAGAGTTCAGTAGCACGAGGAAGAACAGAGGGACATGGTTTTGCAAGAGCTGTTGAGAGGGATTTTAAAATTTTTTTTTTGGTAAGTTGACAGTTCCAGTTGTCTTCTGATGTTAAAGTCAGTGCTCATTTGTAGAGAAAGCTTTTGGTTAATTGCTTTCCTTTAAGTCCCCTCCTCTTTCTACTGAAACTTAAAATGGGGCATGCAAGTACTTGGTTAGTATTTCTTTGCTATTATTATTGGTGTAGAACTTGGAGATAAGATATCATGTGACACTTTGCAAAAACTGAAGTACATTTTCCTTTAAGTGCACATAACTGTGCTGAATGAACTCTGATTCGTTATTTTTATTTGAAATTTCAACACGGAAAAGGAACAGTGTAAAATCTTTGCCTGCATTTGGAAAGATTCGAGTGCTAGGTTTCTTTAACTCTCATGGACTTGATATCATTTGGTCAATTCAGACCATAAAAACTTTTCAGGATGTGGCCATTGGTCCTGGTTACCTAGAATGAGTGTCATTCCTTAGAAGGGAAGAATTAAGCTAGTTTTGTAGGAATATCTTCAAGGTATTTTAAACTTTTTTTTTTTCTTAAGAGGGAAATGAGTAAAGTTTCTTTTCTTGCTAGATGAACTGCACAATGTTGATAATAAATACATGTTTCAGATGTCTATGACCAGAATTGTTCACAGTGTTCTGGATAGCAATTTCCCCAGTGTTGTTACTTCACCCTTGCCCTTACAGAAGTATTTATCTGATCCATCTTTAGATTGTGGTAACCTTTTTTATGGCTGCTAAATTGATGGGTTTTGCTTGTGATCAACACCACCTTGTACTTCACTGAATCTCGCTTTCATTGCTAACTCATCTCCAAGGTTGTTTAAATCAGTTTTCCATTTTATTTGGTGGTACCTCTTAACTTCTTCAACAGACTTAATCATTATGGTTTGACATCCTGTGCCAAGGTCACTGATACAGATATTAAACAAGATTGGTCCCAAGTCTTGTCCTTGAAAAACTCTTACTCATTTATTTCCAACCTGATATCTCTTTAGCCATCTTTTTTAGGGGAAAAAAAAAAAAAAAACCAACTCTGTGCCCTTTTCAGCTTATCTAGTTCAAAAATTTCCATGCATGCTCCTAGATGAGGCTTTACAACAGTCCAGGTAATCATATCTTATGTTTTTCCGTAGGGCACAGTTAACTGTAGGAAAATATGTTGCATTTAACCCTTCTGTCCATTTCCCTGTTTTTTTTCCTGGTAATGTTGAGCTCAAGAATTTTATTGGAAATTGGAGAAAAAACAGTTAAGTCTGATCATTTCTGAACCCTGCTCTGCCATTTTCTTGGTAGATGGTAGAAATCTGTGCTGCAAGAAGGCTTTTTAAAAATTTTTTTCTTCCTTAGACCTGCTACTCTTAAGAATTCCGGGGCAATGTTCTCAGTGTGGCCTTAGCCAGGCAGCACTCATCTTCTTGAATTTGTGATTTCCTGCTTTACACACTCATTCCTGCTGCCTGTCCTTTGTTCCTATTCTTTTTTCCATCTTACATACCAAAACCTAAGCTGAGTGATTAGTTTTGGGAGTCACACTTTAATGATTTTTCCTCTCTGCTGTCTCCTTGCTGTATTTGAACCCCACTTATCTTCTCCTTGTTATCTGCGTGGCTCTGTTCTTAATGTTCTTAATGTTCTTTTAAGTGTCCGGGTCAGTTTCGCTTTATGGCAATTCCTTCTTTATATCTCTGCACTGATTAACTTCCAAATCTTGAGGCAGATCAGCACTTTTCTGTCACTTCCTGGGAGGAGGAGATGTTTGTTCAAGCATTCTTCTAGGGCAGTTGCTCATCTCCTTGCATCTGGAGTCCTTCCCTGTGAATTTTCCTGTTGCTTGAGATGCAGATTTCATGTTTCCAGTTGGAGTAAGTTCCAGGACTCTTTGATATTTCCATCTTCAGTGTGTCTGCAGGATGTGTGATGAGAGCCCAGCCTCAAATTACAGAAAAGGGGAAATGTTGAGCCCTTCAGGGGATGATCAGAACATCAGCCTAACTTGAGGGGGTTGAATTGTCCTGCAAGGAGTGTGTGGCCTTCAGGTCAGAGTTTCACTGCATTAGAACTGGTGTTTGGAAACACACTCCTTTGAGATCCTCTGCCTAGGAGAGTGTTATTTGTAGTCTGTCTGCCCTTTCCAAACCACGAATCTTCATTGTCAATCTGCTTTCGTTCACTCTTGGACTGTAATCCATGTATTTTCTGTTGTAGTTTTATCGAAGGGTGTTTCCTCTGACAAGTTTCCCATACTTGCCAAAATTAATCTAAAAGATAAAACTACCTTTTGCTGTTACTGAGTAGCCAAAATTATTATGGATCCTTCTGTTCATTAAAGGCATGTGTTCAGTTAGTAGCCAAGGAGTTAAGTTTCCCAGTGAGGCAGAATTCTTTCAGGATCCAAGTCTGACTCCAAGGAATCTGTTGTCATCTTTTTTCTGTTCTTCTCTTGGAAAAAGTGAATTTTAGGAGGGGGAAAGCATTCTGAATGGTAGCAGTTTAGGCAATTTGCTCAGTGTTCCCAACTTCTGATTGTTTTAACTCCCTCATTCAAATCATGTAGGAGGAATTTTTTAAGTCATGTTATTGTGAATGGTGAAGGCAAAGTTAATTTTAATTCTACTAACCATTTCACACAGAGTATCATGGCTAATGCAGCAGTGTAATAGTGTAGGTGGACTTGCATTCCTCCAGCATTGACCATAGCACACAGTGTTTGAAACTGTTCCAGATTCACGTCATGTAAAGAGAGGAAAGTTTCTGCTTGGGAAGGCAATTGGATGTTTTATTAACTGTTCTTAGTGAAATGGAGGATTTTCTTTCTCTGGCTCATCAGAGCTATTCTTGAGGGCAGGCTCCCTTTGCCTGTGGAGACCTTATCAAGGCACCTGAAACTGCTCCCTGTTCTGATGATGGATTCAAGCTCTCAGAGGCCATGTTAACACATTGTACTCTTAGTGTTCATGTGGATAGCAATTCGCTAAATTCACCCTGCCTTTAAGGCTATAATTCGTGCAGGGAACAGGCCTGAGAGTCTGTCTTTTGGAAAACTGAGTTGTGCACCTTCCCTGTATCTCCAGGACTGAATTTGTTTGACATCGTGAGAGACCTCTCTGATCATCTGGCACCAGTGCACAGTGGGGAGGTGAGCTGGTTTTGCAGAAACCCACTACCTTAAGACTTCGTGGGTTGAAACAAGTTTATATCTTTTAAGATTGACCAGAATGGTACAGCCCAGGACACAAATGCAACTTTTTCTGAGTGGAATGCACTTACCAAGTGAACAGCCATCTTCTGTGACATGGGTAGTCTTGGGACACTGGGCCACTTTCAGATAACATTATCTGCTGTTGACAAAAGGCAGTGGTCACTCTACATCCAGCATGGATTTATAAGAGACTGCAGGAAGCAAATAACTTTGAACTATTGTCAGAAAGTTAACAACAGGCATAAAAGCAGAGATAACAATCTTTCATGGTTTCGTACACAACTGCTAATATAAAAATACCTATTGCTTAATGTGTTTCTCTCTTGTTTGTATTTTTGAAGTGATTTCTCAAGGTTTTGCAATGGAATTTTGCCTCAGGAAATAGTGATCTTTAATATCGGTAGCCTGCCTTAGAAGAAAATACTCCCCAAAGTAAAAGCATTCTTAGATGGCTGTTTTGTTATGTTTTATCTTACATCTAGAAGGGCCCAAAATAAGTCTTGAATATCAGTTTCAGAAAACGTGTACATTATATAATTCCATGAAGCACCCACCAAGCGTCGAACACCCTCTTACCTTCTCCATCATGATGATCCATCCCTGTGTTTTTGCACTTGACTGTAGGGATATGGATTTGCTTTGATGTAAGATATTCTTTGTTCCATATGGTGCCGATCCCAAGTTAATGAGGTGACAAAGATAGCATGAAGCAATTCAGGGAAATGGGAGCTGTGGCTTGGGAAGGAGCAGCATGTACTGTTTGAGCCAAAAATTGAGTTGGAAGCCCTTGCTTTGCACCAGTGAGGTATTATAATCAGCTGAGTTGCAGCATCTTGCTTCTTGAGAGGCACCATCTCCTTGGCTTCTGTGGAACTTCTTCTGGTATGTGTAGTCTTTAATTTAGAAAGGAAAAATACCAATTGGCATGTAATTCTAGAAAGATTCCCATTTCTGTTCTAACTCATCCAGTATCCAAACTGCGTTGCACTGAAGTTTCTCTTGCCTATTCATTACTTCAAATCTTCAGGTTCTGACTAGTTACCTTGTTACTGAATTTCTCTTTTGCTTATTTTGTGACATTTTTATTTTGTTCTTTAATAATTCTATTCAGTATTTTCTGAAAAAGATGAGAACCAGTAAAGGAATGTACTTGCCCAAATTGTTGTACTACAACCAGTGGGTTTTTTGTTGATGCACAATTGATACTTTTTTTCATATCCATCAGGAAGCAAATTGACACAAATATTTAGTGAATTTCCAAAGATGAGCTTAGTTCCTGCCAAATTTGTGTGGAATTGCTTTAAATTTGCTCTGAAATCTCTTGTTTTTAGAAACTGCCAGTGCCCAGTCACTACTGTGTACTCTGTTGTGTAATTATACTGTGTAAATATTATCTGTAGGCACACTGCTCTCTATAGGGGCACTGTCTGGTGTTGGAGCTTCCACTGTCATAAGTGTGGTGGACTTAATGTCAAGTGAAAAACTCAGTGAGCTTCTCGTCTTAATGTGCTTAACATACCAGGGTTTTTCCTCTCTCCTGTTTTTAGTTTAAATACAAGTACATAATTTGCTGAAGGAACTTAAGAGTTTTCTATGTAATTTTCATGTTTTACATTTCTGTTACTGGATTTGAGCATGTTGTAATAATGTGGTGTTGTTCCTGTGGAAAATACTGATCACAGACTCTTCCTTTAGGTTGCCATAAAAATAATTGACAAAACACAGCTGAACCCAACTAGTCTACAAAAGGTATGTTTTTACATTTTATCTTTCAACTGTATTATAATTTGTTTCTCCTCACCACCTCCTTCCATTAACCCTGAATGCCTGTGCTGGAGAATTCGAAGCATTGCATACCTTGCACACATCTGACTACTGTATTTAATAACTAGTTTTGTAACAGATATTTTTGACAGCCCTGCAGTTGTTCAAGCTGAACTCATACAGAGCTGTAAACTGAGAAAACAGTGGTATTAGCCACTTCCTTTGTCTCCCAAGCTTAGCTGACTCTGTAGAGAGGACGTTTGTGGTTTGGTGTCGTGCCCCCATGTCTCCTTCATGCCGGTCACTTTGTTAAACTTAGAAAGGCAAAGCTTATGTCCTGTCCTCTTAAGCCGGCCTTGAAAATACTGCCTGTGGACTGAAGGCCAGGCTTCAGTCTGTGCCTCTCGCATAATTTGCAGCAGGAGAGGTGATGCAGTTTTGTGAAACAAATTGGGGCATGACTGGTTTCTTCCCTCTAGCTTCAAATGTTTAATGTGCTGTAACAGTTGTGTTGCCTTATCTGTTTTAGTACAGAGCGATAAACCCTGCTCTTTCATCAAGCAAACCAGTCTGTTTTGGAGTGTGTGCAGGAAGTACATTTAAATGTTACTTTTATGTGGGACTTTTCTAGCTTTGTCCTTTTAAGTGCTGTAGTCAAAGGCTTTTTGTTTACTTTTGAGTACTTAGATAAAAAAACTCCTTGCAATATTTCTGTTTGAACAAGAGAATACCCATGATTGAACTAGTGTAACTAGAGTAAATTGGAGAATATACCCATTTGTATTTTATGCAAATACTAAAAAGATCAGGTGACTAGATGTTTTTATCAAGATTAATGGTGCAGAAGTAAATTGGAAAAACACACAAGTTCATATATGGTTTGTTTGAGAGGCAAACAATAACCTATAGAAGAAAGGGTCCATGTTCTGAGCAGGTAGCAACTTCCTACTGACTCTGTGGACTGGGTAAAAGTGGATAATGCGGTTCCAGTTTTCTTGGAATTTTTCTCAGCTTAATCCCTGAGGTTGTTGGTGGTTTCTGGGTAAGCAGGGCGGAAATAAAATGTAAATTAGGTAATATGATGGATTAGATAAAGTTGATTTGTGTGTCAGATCTGCACAACTTGGAATACCTGAAAAAGTTGTTAAATGCTTGAAGCACTTGAAAGATAAACAAAAGCTATGTGATACCAAGGGGAGGCATCAGCACATGGGAAGAACGGTCAGAGAGAAGTAGAGAGGCCTTGTTCACAGGCAAAAATGTGAGATCATAATTGTTCAGATGATGTTATTTGAGGTTGGGTTGTAATGCGAGTTTGATCTCTCATTGGGGTACAATGCAAACCATGTTACAAATCAGAGGTGTTCAGTTGGTAAAGCTACAGGCTGGAAGTGTGCATGATGGTCCTTTGATTCCTGGGTTTCCACCAGACCAGCTCTGTCCACTCATGTCTCCATCTCTGTCATTTCAGTGCCGTAGCCTGGGTGCGTTTGGAGCCAACTGCAGTTGGCTCCAAACGCACCCAGGCTACGGCACTGAACTGAGAACTCTGATATTGCACGACCCGTAGATGCAGGGGAGGCTGAGATGGAAGTGCTTCTGACCTTGCAGTTCTGGAGGGAGCGATAAAATATTTGAGGTATGGTGGGGAGGGAAGGGCTGTGCCGAGAGAGGAGGGTGTGGCGTGCAGCGTCTCAGCTGCGGTGTAGCTGCATACCCGAGTCATCCGTAGGTGGGGGAGACAAATGGTGATTAGGGCTGCCAGTTCTGATTTCTTTGTGTTACATCTTCCACATCGATACTTCAGCTGCCAGGAAGAAGTTAACCTTGTTAAGGACTTGCTTTGCTTTCCGGAGCAGTAATTCGTGGTATGCCCTCGCTGCAGCCTTGACAGCTCGATACTGAGTAGCAGCTCTTCAGAAGGGTCGGGTTTCTGCCTGCTGCTGAGGAAGTCTGTGGCAGCCACATGCAGCTACTCTTTACTGTTGTTTTAGGACCTAATTGCTGCTCTGCTACTCTTGCTTAGTGAAGAGGAAACTGTAACCGGTACTTCCCTGCTTTGAAAGAAAAGGGAATTCTTAGAGCTTTTTTCCCATGCTGGTGGTGTTAGTCATAACCACTGTTCTCCACAAATGGACTTGTGTACCCAGTTCCAGTGAATATCAGTCTCACTGGAAACAAATGCTGATGCTACAGTAGTTCACTTCCTCCTAGCCAAAAAAAATGGTTTGTTTGGTTTTTTTTTCCCTTTTGAATTAGCAATGCCATTATATGCAAGGTGTTTTTTTTTTTACCAAGCCCATGTAGTAGCACTAAATCACTTCCCGTGTTCCTTTTTTAGAACTTGGCTCCTCAGCCAAATATTTTTGTTCATTATGTGCAGATGTTTTGCCACTTGTTTGGGCCATACTTTTTGTTGATGCATTTTAGAGTTCTTATACATTAATTTTAATGTGGACCATGGGCTTTCTTACTTTGGGTCAATCACTGTTTTAAAAACTGCAAGAAAAGGATGAGAATTTAAAATGCTCAGGCTTTTCTGCTTATAACGAGTATCCTTTTCTGTTTTCAAGTTGCAATTAGTTTGGGGCAAATTAATTTTGTAATTTTGGATTGTATAAAGGCTTTTTGCTTGAGGCTCTTCATTATATGTAGGACATATTTCAGTGAAGCAATTACCAGGAGAAGCCTAATACACATGTCAAACTTTGGCTGGCTTGGGACAGCATCTTGGGAAAAGCCCCTCCTTTGAGGAGAAGGCAGCTGGGGGAGGTTGGTGCTCTGCAGCTGATGACTGTACTGATTTGCTCTTTAGCAAACTTTTTTCATGTTTTTAAAATATTTTGCTGCTGAAAATCTTGCAGTAACTGTTGCAGGAACACTTCTAATCTGTCTTTTGCTGTGTTCAAAGAAAGTTGACCTAAGAGAACCAGCTTCCATTGCTGGCTTGCTGGGCGTTTTTTTATTCAGTTTGTTGGCAGCAGCATTAATTAAATGCGATTCTTTCCCTGTATCTGACATGGCTTACAGTCAAAGGACTGGACCACAACAAAGCTGAAAGCCATTTGTTTGGCAGACAAAGATGTTTGTCTTTGCCTGGAAACATTTGTAGAGCTCCTGTTGACGGAAAAGGAGCTGTTCTACAAGCTGGGAGTAGTTTTTAATCTTGGTATTAGAAATTAAACTGTTGAGAACTGGTTTCTGTTTTTTGTATGCCTTTATAGTCTCATCAGAACAAGTAAGTTTCTAAAACTAAGAAAATAATTTTCTCTATTGAGAACCTTCATGTTACATCTGCTGATATTATACCTTGTTCTTTGTTCCTGTGACAGGGAACCTCAGAGGTGTGAGGTTTTATCATACCTGGCTTCTGCAGTGAATTTTACTGTGTGGTGATAGTTACTATTTCATTTGCTCTAATTTGATTCATATAGTATTTGGGGGGAATGAAATCTGTGAAACTTCTATTCAGCATACTGTGTGAAAGTTGTCATATTTCTCTATCCTAGAAGTAGACTATAATGTATAATACAATGTCAGGCATTTGTAGATGTCCTTGTGGAAGTTACTATCTGTGTCAAAATGCTACATATAACAGTTAAACTGACAAACAGTGCACAATCTGAAGTGCATTTATATAACCAAAATTATAATAAAAGAATTTTATTAGTTTAGGTAGCAGTTGTATCCTTTTCTCAACTATTTTTATTTTTAATTTCCTCTGAGACAAAAACAGTCTTTTTTAAAAAGAGCTTATTTCCAGTCACCCACTTCAACAAATGGCTCATAATGTAGAATCTGGCTTTTTACATGCTGTATTTTAGTTAGTAATGCAGAGTAGTCGTCTTGTGGACGAATGTTTTGATGAGTCTGACCCATAGGCTTTATCTTGAATATTGGGGGTGGAAGGTGTCAGATATCAATTTGGAATGAATTAAGCAAAGTGTCTTCAAAACTGCAGAACCTGATCAGAGGCTTTCAGTTAGATAAGCTGTGATTAAACGTGTTAATGGAGAATTCAGAATACATTATGCACCAGTTCAGCTGAACTGAATGAAGAACAAGAAAAAAATAGCTATAGATCAAACTGCTGTTAAATTTCTGAAGATCAGTAGAAAGGTGATGTTGTCTACCTTCTCTGATTACATATGAAAAAGCCCCAGAAATAACATAGTTTAAAAAAATAAAAGAAGGCAATTTTACCTCTCTGGAGGATAAAAAAAATATGCCTGCGTAGGTTTTGAAACTGTTTTATATGGCCAATAATGTACTTGATCAATCAACCCTGGTTGCATTTAAGCAGCTTGATTTATTTAAAACCCACCCCTTGCATTTTCTTTTATGAAAAGTCACAAAGGCACAAGGATTTTGTTTTGTTCATTCTTTGGTTGTTTTTTGTTTGTTTCCAATGTTTCACCTTTTTTTTTTTTCTTGCTTTTATTGAGTAAATACACCTACAGATTTGAGTTGCTGGTAATCCATGTAGACATATTAAATGTCTTCACTTTATCTGAAATCTGACCTGAGGCATATCTTGCAGCAGCACTTTTTCTTCCTTACTGTTAATGACAATGCTGCTACCCTTTATTTACAAAACTCCTGGTTTTTTTCCCATGTCTGCATTCCCTTGGAGCTGTGGACTTATGTTCTGCTTCAGTCTCTTTACATTAAGTTCAAAATGATCTATTAGGTTGCTGGTATTCCTGTAGAAATTTGTGTTGGATTTCTCATAAAACCTCTTGATTACTCCTACTTTTTGAAGCATGCTGTTAGAAAATAATTGATGTTTAAGAACATCAGCCCTCTGGAGCCTTGGGCTGGCATGGAAGGAGATGCAGAGGAAGAACAGCTACACACTCGACTGCCATATAGGGTGCTGCATAAAAAGGGAATTATTTGGTTTTTTGAATACAGTGGTATTTGTACTTCAAGCTTTTTATGATAATATTTTATCTTGGAACTACTTTTAATTCATTTACTATTAAGAAGCTTCATTAAAAACCATGCTTTACATTGCAGTAACAACACCTGTGGCATTTTTAGTATTACAGTTGCAAGTTTACATGTATCTTAAAATTCTCTTTTGGAGAAGAGTTTTGAGGCTTGCAAATGAGTAACAACTGCTCAGTAATAGTCTTTACCTTCATTTGTAGTTTTAAGTGTCACTCTCCTATTGTTCAGTTGCAGGAGGACAGAGTTTACTCTGTGACAGGCAAAGTTGAAATCTTCAGAAGTAGTTAGTTACTCAAGCAAAACCCTCTTCACATGGCCATTGGCATAGGGGGGAAGGACAGACACAGGGCATGGGACATGACAAGATCCTTACAATCGGTGTGCTGTCTCTGGATTCAGAACAGTGGATGTAATGTCATGCTGCAGCTTGAAATGGGCAGCTGTCCCTCACCACCCATCCTGCCAAAATGGATGTGCTGGGGTGGGCTAGAGAGTGCTTTTGTGTGGGGGAGTTGTGTGTCTTGTGGGATTTTTCTGTTAAATTAATTCCTAGAGCTTGTGGGTCAGTCTGGGTTAACACCAGCGCTTGCATAAAGGGAAGCAGCACGATGAGGTCAGGAAAACACCGTTTGTGTTCTGCCCTATTAATTTTGGCAAGTACATTCATCGCATTGCACTGGCCAGGCAGGCTTGGAGACTGGATGTCTGGCAGTGAGTCAGAGGAGCTGTGCTGGCAGACCCAGGACTAGATGCTGCTGTCCCTCAGTCGCCTTGCAGGAATGCTTCTGAAGGGCCGAGGGGTGGCCTTGTCTTCCCGTCTCTCCTTAAAACTTGCTCCTTGCTGGTGTACTCAGATAACACGCTTCCAAGCAGCTGGCGTTTCACCGGTGAGCTGCTGTTGTAGCACAGCAACTCCTTGGCTGTAACGAAGTTCTGAAGAGTGCTGAATTCATACTAGTAATGTACTGCAGTGGTCTTGTAAAGATGTTCAGGTGGGGGTTCACAAAACTTTGGAAACCGTACTTTCTGTGAAGGGAGTGAAGGATCTGTGAGGTGTACTGGTCAGCAAGGAACTGCATGGGCTCACACTGGTCTTGTGGCCCCAAAAGTGTGCAAACCACAGAGCTAAGGTCACTTTCCTGAGCTATCTGGAGTCCTCTGTGGGTATTTTCAAGTTTTTGAGGGTTGATTTTTTGGGAGGAGTGTTAAAGAAGCATCCACATAATTCTTCCCTCCATTAAGAACTTCTTTCATGGACTTCATAGAAATGTTAATAATGTTTACCCTTTGTGTTTAAATAACTATATCAGAATCATCAGTCTTCAGGAAAAATGGCTGTTTGTTACCAATTTTAGTAACTTACTTCATGTTTTATGTTTATTTCAGCTCTTTAGAGAAGTAAGAATAATGAAGATTCTAAATCATCCAAATATAGGTACCTTGTTTCTTTCTCATAATTTCCAACTGGAGAAATTTTAGCTTTTTCATTGTTAAAATGGTTGTGGTATGAGTTTAAAATATTATTTTGCATTAGGGTGTCAATATTCTGTAAAATAGCAATAATAAATACTGTTTCAGAGCTGTGTTTTTACAAAAAAAAAAAAAACCCAACAAACATTTTGGTCCCTTTGCACAAAACTTTTGCATAGCTAACTGATAGTTCTGCTCCTTTTGAGTATGATATTGGCTCTTACTGAATTCAGACTCTCATTAAAAGTAAGCACATACACCAAAGTCAAGAAGCGGTTGAGAATTTGTTCAAGATTGTACATCTAAATGATGTAGTGCTGTTACAGGACTGTCAGCAAACTGACTGATAACTGATTTGTCACCCTGTATGCCAGTTCAGTGCATAGAAATGGCTATTGTTGATGCTCAAATATGTGGAAGTTCTGCTTACTTTAGTTGCTTTCCCATGTAGCAGAAGCAAAGTATTGTTTCTTGAGAATACGTTGTTCTGTACGAGCTGACCAAATATGTTCTAGTACTTTCTGTCTAGGAACATTTGACAGAAATAACTTCTTTAGAATAAAGAGTTTGATACCGTCAAGTGGCAAGCAAATAGTTTGGGGTATTTTTCTCTGACAGAATTCTCTGTAGGGCTAACATAATATTTGTGCAGCTAGTTAACTGATAAATAAATGTCTTTCTTTTCCAGTGAAGCTATTTGAAGTCATTGAAACTGAAAAAACTCTCTATTTAATAATGGAATATGCAAGTGGGGGTAAGTACCTCTCTGCTGTGGTGACACATGTAAACAAATTGCCAAGTTAGGGAAAGTACTTGTTTTCTTTAAAGTTTTGCTTGCTTTTTCAGCAAATCTTTATCAAAGTAGTGTAAGACATTAAGGAAAATATTTAATAGTCTTTGAGACTTCTTTGGTCAATATAAGTATAAGTTATGAAACCAGCTTCTAAACTTACTATGACTTAGTAACAATTTCTTTTTTTGAGTTTTCATAACTTAAATTTAATGGGAGTCTTTTTTTCGGACATCAGTTGTTCCTGTCCATAACAAATATTGACCTGCTCAATTATTGTATTCAGTTCCCTACTTCTGGCGTCCTATTTTATATAAGATAATTGGTAAAAACATGTTCAGATGAAACATTTCTGTGTTTCTTTAACTGCTGCTTTCAAAGCATAAGTGCTGCGACTTCTGTTTTTAGATGTTGATAACATCTTACATATCTTAATCACAGACCTTCTACTGTCAAGAATTGTTAGGTTTAGCCTCATGCCATTTTAAGAGAAACTTAAACATTTTTCCTGATTGTAGAGGGGATGGAAAAATGCACATTATGCAACGACAGATATTTTCACCAAAGGTAAAATTAAGTTACTTAGGCTTAAGTTACTCTTTGCTAGGTAAAACCTCATAGCACTCCATTTGTCAGTGACCCTTTAGCATCAGCATCTGGGAATCTTAAATAGTTGAGGCTTTTCTTTAGTTTTAGGAGGGAGATATAGAGACTTTTTTTCAGGGAAAATTAGCATTGAATTCAGACTCTGACACTGGATTACATGAAGTTTAATGAATTACTACAAATAAAACCAGATTCTCTACCTGCCTGTGTTTTCTTCTGGCAGTTCCCTAAATGCTCAGCCAAGATTAGCCTAAACAGGAGCAGAGTGGGCATGATATCATTAAAATATTGGCTGGTACAGGTGTTTGGGAAAGCATCTCTGTGCTGTTTGATGATTGTAGACAAAAGTGAAGTCCTGTTGCCATCTAGTGATTATCTTCTAGGAGGTAGAAAGGCCAGTGGTTCTCTAAAGCAGTGAAGATCTTTCTTAGGATGGTAAGGGAAAGATACATACTGTGCTGGTCTAAAAGACCAAGAGCAGTACATTTTGATGTACCAGGCTGTGCAAGACAGGAATGGCTGGTAATCTCAATGGCAGGCTTCAGTTTCCCGTATTTTCTCTTTATCAAGGTACAGGTCATCATGATGCACATGAACTCTGCCTGCAGGATGAAAGAAACTATTGCTGCAGCTGCAACACTTCACATAAATTGGGGATAATTCTCTGGTGTGTTTTTCCCTGAATTATGAAGAAGTGTTCAGGTTTGCTGCTTCAAGGCTTTTAAGAAACAGCTGTGAAATACAACTGAGAGTTATCTGAGTTGAGTATTAAATAATACACCACAGAGGGAAGTAAGGCTATTTTGTAGGAAATCCTCACATTCCCTCAGATGCCTCAATTGTTGCTTTTCTTGCTGCATGACTGGGTTTTTTTATTGTGATTTGGTGGAGTTGCTTCTTGTAAAAAATGAATGTGAAGTTACTCAGCTCTTCCCGTGCTGTCTACAAAACAGTGTTTTCGTGCTTAGTAGAGAATATTTAAATATTGGATCCACTTCTGAAATTCTTACGATTTTTACATGTTAGCAAGGAATTTTTAAAACTGCCTGTTAGTCTGTGTTTGTAGTTCTTATGTACAAGGCTGTTGACTTCTAGTAATGAAAGTCTCCCAAGCTTTCACAAACAGTCAGTGTTTCATGGGCCAGTTGGCCTGCACCTATAGCTCAGACATTTTAGTCTATGTTGATGTGCTGTAAAATGACTGCATGGATTAAAGGGGGGAAAAAACCAAAACACAGCAGATCTTTAGTAAACTTTAGTTATCCACAGCCATACAACAGTGGGTTTGTTCAGGAGTAGTCCTTCTCAGTGTATTTTACGGGTCTGATGGTTGTATGATGGATTAAGTCCGTGGCAGTGTGTCCTACGATGCTCATTGTTGTGACCTTCCTTGTGGGTATCTTTTCCAAGCCTAGGTTAAACCTGAGATTTCTGATTTTGTTTAGAACAATTTTATGTGTGAGGACAAATTAAAATTCTGGTGTTGGTATGAGGGTATTTACAAATATCATCAGATGTTCTAATATTTTAAACTTTTTTTTTTTTTCCAATGAGTCAAAAGAAACCCTTGTGAGAAAGTCTGTGAAGGGGTACATGTCATCTTTGTTTACAAAACAGAAGTATGCTGCTCTGTTTCTGTCCTAAGTAATTGGAAGGAAATGGTTTCCTTTGTCTATATCCAGTCACTCATTACTTTCTTGTAAAAGAGATGATGGTGTAGTAAATTGCACAGCAGTTGTGCCTCGATCTCTTAAGCTATCCTGCAATCATAAACTTGAAGTACAATCGTTCCAGTGAAGCTGCTGTGGGCAACTGCTGGAGAGGAATTTCTACATTCTGAAATTGGCACTAATGTATCTCATTATTGAATTGTAGGGGAAGTGTTTGACTATCTGGTTGCACATGGAAGAATGAAGGAAAAGGAGGCTAGAGCTAAATTTAGACAGGTATGTATAACATTCCTATATGTCAGCTTTCCCCCCGCCCCTGTTTTTGCTGAAATGAGTAAAACAGCTGTCCTTTGCATTTGACTTCCAGCAGTGTTCAGCATGTTGTGGACTTGGAGCTCTGAGTGAGAAAAAACTTAGGTGTCAGTAGTACCTTGGAGTCAGTAGCCCGTTCAGTGGTGCTGGTTTCCTTAGTGCTGAGCGCCAGGGCGTCCAGGAGTGCCAGAACACGGAGACTGCTTCATCTGGAAGTGTATTCCATTCCAAAATGCATTTCCTCTGGGTTGATTTTGTATGTCCTTAGCTCAGCAGGTTTGTAGCATTTTGGAAGTTATTCAAATGTAGCAGGCTACAAACAGGCCAGTTTCAAAACACAGACGGTGCGAGTGACAGGGGTCTGGTCACATCCATCTGCTAACGTGAGAAGATGCTGTTGAGTAGTTGTTCTGAAAAGTCATAGAAAAGTAATTTTCTAGGCTTTGTTAGTTAGGCTTTCTTTATGATGGATAAGCTAGCCCTGCCAAAATGTTGGAATTTCATTGATCTGTGAAAGGCATTTCCATTCCACAGGAACGCAGTACTGAACATAACCAGATATTTTGACATAACTTCTCAAAATCCAAATGTTTGCTCTTGTAGCATCTAAAGTTTCATTTGCAGATCTGACTGGTCTGGTACGCTTGTTTTCTACTCCTATGTAGAATTTGTAAATGTCTGTGTTATTTCCATCCCTTTGGTCACTTGGATAATCTAGGTAATAATGTGAAAAGTAAAAAGTATCAAAATTATGCTCCAGCTTAATGACACTTTAAAATAACAAGTAGAGACGAAAGTGTTATTGAATGATCTGTAGGGGTTTTAAACTGGTGAATTGTGGCAGTGATGTGTCATCCAGTTTCCCTGTTGGAAGGGACATGTCTTAAGTGTAGCCATACATAGAAGAAATTTGATGTGAGACTTCCAGGAAATTAATTAATGACTTTCACAAAATGCTTTGTAAAGAAAACTTCTACACTTCTCTAGCATGGTTACTGTGACTGAAAAGAACAAATTGGGTACTAGGGAACTGTGCCACAAATGTTTTGCTCCCTCTGTCTCATATAGTAAGAATTATGTGAGAGAAATGTAAGCAACAAGCTTAAAAGTAGCAATGAAAGTAAAAAAACCGAAATGTATTAACCCAGCATAAGGAGGCAACAGAAGCGTTTCTATGAAATCCTTGTTCATGTGTTTTCTCTCCTCTCCTTAAATCTTGTATGTACCCTTTTTTATCTTCTGGGGAAAAAAAAACACACCAAAATCACCACCACCAAACAAACACAACAACCCAAAAAGCTGCAGACTTCGTATCCCCAGAAGTAATTTTTGATTACTGGAGTTACAGAGCTTAATAGTAAGGAAAACTTTTCTTACTCTTTAGCAAAGTCTTACATGTCTTTTTAAAGCTGTTTCCTTCCCTTTCACATTCTGGCAGATAGAGAACTTTCCTTTGAGGTGGAGGGTTTCTGGTATGTGTTTCTGTGCTGTGTTGGAGTAGATGTTACGGGATGTGGAGCAGTCGTTCCCACTTCAGCCATCTCTTCTAAATCCCAGACTGTTGCCTTTCTCTTTGTAGGGTGACTTGAAGAGCTTCAGAGTAACTTGAGAGGATTGATTGTTCTCTCTCAGATGTGAATATTGAAAATTTCTACTGATACAGTTCTCTGCTCTTGCTCCTCAGTTTCTTTTATCAGGAGCTGTGTGGAAAAAGATCTTGCAGTAATTACATAGAAATTGCATGTTTGTTCACCAAATACCTATTTTTTTCTAACAATTTGACTCCCCTTTAAATGAAAACTTACGGAAACAGGTCAAACATGTTTTACAGGTACACTTAGTGCTTAATTTTATGGGATAATGTGGGTAGTACAGGATATGTGTACCTTCATTTTTCAAAAAGAAATGTGAAGGGAAAGAATTTAAAAGGGAGTTAACCTACTGAGCTGGGTATTTGTCCCATCAAGAGCTGATTTTTTTTTGTACTTCAGATACTCAGCTTTTTTTTTTTTTTTTTTTTTTTTGGTGGGTTTGTTTTTTTTTTCCTTCAGTAGAATAAATGCTATTTGTAAAGATATATAAGTGACTTCACTTGTATGCACTGAAATACACAGTTTTTTCTTCTAAGTCTCCTGGCACAGGCAGCTGTGCTCTGTCGTCCCTCAGCAGCTGACTTCCTGGCTGCTGAGCTCAACCAGTTTTAGAGGACCTTGATCTCAAAGATGGGAGGTTCTTGAAAGCTTCAAAAGCCTCAGTTCCTGAGGAAAAAAAGAGAACCCTAGAAATGAGCTGAGGAGAGAAATTGTAGCACAAGCTGATTGTGCTTTGCTAGAGGGAAGAGCATTCGTGTAGGATGAAAGTCAGGTAACTTTGATCAGAGCTTGGCATTTATTAGATGCTGAAACTCAGGCTGAGGGACAGTGTCAAAGGAAATTAGATCTTGCTGGGTTCACGGGTCATAAAACTATTCATTTCACCTTACTGTAGTCCTGGAATAGCTTCGTATCGCTTTTAGCCATTGTTGGAGGAAGAATGCACTCTGCAGACCTTTTATCTGATGCAGTGCAGCTGTTCTCTGTTACATAGAGACTTATGACATAATAGGCGTTTATTTTTTTAAATTTGTTAACTGGTTTAACAGACGGTGGCTCTTTTTAAACTGAAGAAACAGTTGTGCCCCGGTGTTGAGCTTAGTTCTTACAATAGGTTGTATTATATCTTGTTTTCACATCATGTTTCTTCTTTCAGTAGATGTGATTTCTGGATCAAACACTTGTGTTTTGTCTGAAAAGACACTTCCTCTCTAGCAGGCAAAGAGCAGAATTCGGTTAATCTCCCTTCTTTGCTTGTTAAAAAAAAATGCAATTTCTAGTCATTTTGTTAAATATAGTAAGGTTTTTAGCTGGAAAAAAAATAATGTAAAAGACAGTAATCACATTATTCCAGTCGCACTTGACAAGGAACACATGAGAAGTTACAGCTCTAAAAATACAACTCTGCCATATAGTTCTCCATTTCAAACTCCTTCTGTGTAGCCATGTATGAGAAATTCAAATCCAGAATGTTTTGCATTCTTAATGTTACCTTGTTCTTCCCCTTTACAGGCTTTCAAGTAGTTCTGGTTCAGTCTCATCCTTTTTCCATAGAAAAATCTGATGCAGGGCAGGGGATCTCCTTAAATTCATGTGTATTAATTCCTTCTCTTTTCTGCAGCCAGTTAGATCTGACCTTCTTCAGTCTTCCCACTGTTTTCCTGCAGAAGTAGTTTAGAATTCTTAATGCTGGTAGATGTTAGGACAGATCTTGGGAAATAAAATATCCACAAAATACATCTTACTTTTATGTTCCAATAAAGAACCAGAATACACCTGCCAGTGTGAAAGGGACGTTGAGAGGTCATTCATCTATCCTTTTGTCATTTAATCCTTAAAAAAGATGGTTTCTCTGCCTAGAGATAACTTGTTCTAACTTGTTCTTAAAAACCTGTGTTTATACAGATTTTTGGAATGCCTCCTATTTCACTGTTCCAGTTGTTACCTCTAACAAAAAGCTCAGATGTTTCTTCCCCTCTTCTCACCTGCCAAGTATCAGAAAATTCCTCACACTCAAGTGGGTTGGGAGTGAGGGACTGTCAATGGAAACAGTGATGGAAAGTAGAAGAAAAGGGAGTCAGCCTGGTGCAGCCATGCTTTATGCTATTTTTCATTCAGTTATGACTACTGTTCTTCAATTATTAATGTCATACACATTGCATTATTTCGCTTCCATGTGGATTGCACTCACTTCTGCAGTCTCTGTGCCATCCTGTTGCAATGCATAGTTCAAAAGCATCTCCAGAGGAGACTACTGATTGATCATCTGCTCAACCTTCCGCTCTTAGGCAGTCACAATAAAAGCAGTTCAGCAGTGAGTGGTATAGTGCTGTGTCTCTGCAGTCCTGAATAAAGCTTGAGGTGTTTGTCATGCTGTCAGCCTTGGGAGCCTCTCCAGAGTGAGCTTGTGACTGGCACTAGGGTAATGGTAGCAGAGAGAAAAGGAAAGGAAACAAAAAGGATGGTACAAGTGGCGTGGGAGCACTTTGGCAGTTTCAGTATCTGTAAAAAGCTGAACTTGGAGTCTGAAAGTGGGAACCAGTACATACAGAAACAAGCAAAACCAAAATGAAAGTGTAGGGAATGGAAATAGTACTTCAGCTTTTCATAGACTGCTTGTTTTCTAGGGTGGCATTTTGCACATGTGTGATTCAGTAACACAGGGCACAAAGATCCTATTGGTACTTATGTTTCAAATATAAAATTTACTGGTACATCAGTTCTTTGGCCTACCGAGAACCTTATTTTCATCTGCTCTGAATACTGAGGGAGATAACCTTTGTTCCTTAGCAGAACAGGAGGATCCTTGCACTAAGCTGGGTGATCTGATCATGAGTTATTTTTTGTAACAGTAATGCTATGTCATCTTTCTGCATTGGAAATCTTAATCTTGAATGGAGGCTGAAGATACATTTATTTGAACATAGTTATTATTTTTGTGTGCAGTTCCACTTATTTTAAGAAGTCGTAACATCTGCCTCGATTCTCACCATGTATGCATGATAAATAAAATGCACTTGACTGCATTTGTGATAATGTAAGAATAATACTTTATCCAAGTTTTCCATACATGCAGAGTTCTGCAGCAATGCATATGACTTAAGAAGCAAAGTACTGTGACACTGCACTGAGTAAACAGCTTATATAGTTTGCTATATAAAGCAGGAAAACCATGATGATATTCAGAAATTATCCCATGGCACTTGAGAGACATAGAGAGTTTTTTCCATTGAGTTTACTACTCTTCTATGGTGTACAAAATACAATAAATTGTATGCACTGTATGCACAGCAGATCTCTGTCAGATGTGTAGTTGCTTTTCACTGCATAAGTTTTGACAAACAGGCTGTTTCCCAGTAGTTCTTCCAGTAGCTAAAGCCCATTTCTTACCCTTTTCTCTCTGTGGTGTGGCATGAAAAATCACCTTTGGAGAAGGCCTGGAAAACATCAGTCTAGGGGGAAAGCTTTTATAGCTGTATACAGTATTGGAATGGAAATACTTCGGTAACCTTTCTGAAAGTCATTGCTTCTACTGGTCTATAATTAGCCACACAGGAAAAACAAAATCCTCGTTCAAGTATAGGAGAAAACAAATAGATCAAATAACAAACACCCAAGTTATTTAGCAGCTTTTCCCCAAATATGCTGGCCACTGTAGTAGTTGGTTTTGTAGCTCTGAGTGAATAAGTACGTGTCAACTTCAGTAAATAATGTTGAAATCTTTGATTATATGTCCTGTTTCTTTGAGATGACACTTACATAATTTGGCTTGTTTTCTATCCAGATAGTATCTGCAGTGCAGTATTGCCATCAAAAGCATATTGTTCATAGAGATCTCAAGGTGAGTAGGAAAAAGTGGGTGCAGTGTATGTATGGCAACTTCTGTACCTGTGGGTGTGATCTTGATTGTGCCAATAAAATGTAGTGTATACTAAGCTTTCTGATTTATTTATTTATTTGTTTGCACGTGTTATAACAAGTTTTGAGAACTATTTACAGTTTAGAACCATTTCAAATGAAGAGGATTTATAAGGCTTTTAAATACAGAAATTTAATGGCTGCTGAAAGATAACCTCTCACCCTGTAGTGACATTCAGATCTGATGCAGGTCAGTGTTAGCTGAGAAGTCTTTTTTTTTTTTTTTAAGGTAATTTGATAGAGATATGACAAGTTTTAGTCTCAGAATGAATTACCAGTAGTGATGATGAAACTGAAGTATGGCTTCTTTGTAGCTTGGCACAAAGTGTCATATGCCTTCTTTAAACTGTGCCTTTTTATATTAATAGTGCTGCTACATAATTTGTTCAACTCTTTACAAGCTTTGTAACTTAAAAAAAAAAAAAAAAGGCAAAAACCAACACAAAAAAAAAAAAAAAAAAACACTTGAAAAAACTTAAAGGTTATGTTTATTACCAAACTATTACAGGAATGTCACATGCCATAAAATATAGATAGTGAGACTATATTTTGTTTTCATCTGAATAGATCAAAATTTAAGATGCATTTCTGTGGAGAAAAAAAAAATAGATGGTAATAAGTTCTCAGGTAGGATAACAGCTCCCATAGTCTGAAGCCATTGTAGAGAGATTTTTAAAATGGGGATATGCAAATGATAGACTAAAGCATACCTAAACACCTTGGAAGGAAGGGAATGTTAATAGGTATTTCAACTTCTTGCCTTTTAAGAATGAGAACAAACAATAGCATTCTGAATCAAGTATTTTATTCATCTTACAAAGCATTCTTTCTCTTCCAGGCTGAAAATCTATTGCTAGATGCAGATATGAACATTAAAATAGCTGACTTTGGTTTTAGCAATGAGTTTACAGTCGGAAATAAACTGGACACCTTTTGTGGCAGCCCACCATATGCTGCTCCAGAGCTCTTTCAAGGGAAGAAATACGATGGACCTGAAGTAGATGTTTGGAGTTTAGGTGTTATTCTTTATACCCTCGTGAGTGGATCTCTTCCCTTCGATGGACAGAACTTAAAGGTGCTTTTTTTGTAGAATATGCTGGGCATGATTATCGAATATTTTAAGTGATTTGCTGCTTACAACTTACTGTCTGTTCTTCTGTTACCAAGGAACTTAGAGAAAGAGTGCTAAGGGGGAAATACAGGATTCCTTTCTACATGTCCACAGACTGTGAAAACCTCCTCAAACGTTTCCTGGTGCTAAACCCAACAAAAAGAGGCACTCTAGAGGTAATGGCACAAATAAGGTGCATCAGAAAGCTGGACGTCATATTTTGCAAACTGTATTTTTGAGCTGTAACTTATTGCCTACTGTCTGAATAGTGTGTTTGGAGTGGGTGCAGGAGGTGTGATGGTTGACTAAGGCACATGACTCCTTTTAAAGGCGTTGTTTACTGGGGTTATACCACACCTGACTCCACAGTTACTTTAAAAATGAACATGTCACCACGTTTCCTGTGTTATATATTTCCTGATGATTACCTTGTGGATTCCTGCATTAATGGAAGATCCACCAGGACATTTTCCTTGTTTTTCCACATTTTCAAATGCGAACTGGAGGTGTTGGCTGCTGTGGCTGCCTTTCCCCTGCCTTTTGTGCCATTACGGAGGAGAAAAGCAATATTGTTTTGGCCTTCCATGGACCTATTAGACTTGTCAGAGTTGTCTCTGCTCCTGGTCCATGGTACAGGCTTTTGGCTTCCACCTGTGGGCTAAAATACATTAAGTGGGAAGCAGCTTGGCTTGATGTGTGTAGTTGATTCTCATCACTGGAGCAAAGCAAAACTGAGTTGGTGCTGGGAATGTTCTGGAAAAGAAAAAAACTAGGAAAGACCTTAGTGTTTGGTGGATGGGGTAGTTGTTCTTCCCACAGCTTATTTTCTTTGCTGGTAAGTGTATTGTAGTAACAAAACCTTTTCTTTCATAGCAAATCATGAAGGACAGGTGGATCAATGCAGGGCATGAGGAGGATGAACTTAAACCTTTTGTTGAACCAGAACTAGACATCTCGGACCAGAAAAGAATAGGTAATCAAGTATTTTCCACAGTATGATATTGTTTGCCTGATGCAGGAGGGTTTTTTTTCTCCTCCATCACTGTATTTGTTTGCCACTTGGAAAAAGTAACTAGTCTTTTAATGCTATTATTTCATCAGGTTTACTTTCTCAAACTGAATAATTTCTGTAAATGTTCCTTGCTTTCTCTTAAATGCTCAACCAGCCTGAACATCAGAGTTTCTGTTACTTAGAGAATGTGTGTTTGTTTTCAGATATTATGGTAGGAATGGGATATTCTCAAGAAGAAATTCAAGAATCCCTTAGTAAAATGAAGTACGATGAAATAACAGCTACGTACTTACTGCTAGGAAGGAAGTCGTCAGAGGTAAGTACCAGTCTTAAAATTGCAAAGAAACAGTTCAGAAAGTGTCCTTAGCAAAGTTAGAAGCAAAAATTAAGTCAGTAACTATAGGCATTGCATTCCTGCATAAAAGTCCATTACATGTAAAGTCACGTTATTCTAATCATCAGCAGTCAAAATGATGCTGTGTTTGTTCTCACCCTGATCATGAGTCAGTAAACTCTTGACTTTAGTCTCCCCAAAACTGCCCTGTTTGCTCAGCAGTTACTCCTCTGAAGGATTTTGTTGTAGTTACTGTCCTGTCTAGTCTAGGAGCTTAAGTGTGAACATGCCGGCTCTAACTGTTTTAAGAGAGCCAAGGAGCAGGATGATCAACCTCAAAAAGTTCTTGCACCGTAGTTTACCTTTCCATATGATGCTGAGAGGGCTTGGTATCAGTAAGCTGCTCTTGGTTCCTCTGTTAGAGGTATTGGTGTGTATCCTCTTTTTGTGTTAAAATATTGAGAGAACTCTGAGGAAAGAGTACTGAAAATACAGATGGATTTTCTTTTATCTGGTATCCTTTGAGGTCCTGCAAATTCCACTGATTTTCTCCAAAGACAGTTGCGTAACAACCTAAGAGAAGGTGGGACCTCTAAGTAACTACCTGTGCCCCTCTAAATTTCCCATGTAGCCGGGCCGTCTTCTCTGTTCCTGCTCCCATAACGTGATAGATGTTTTAATTTGTTTTGTTTGAACTCCTTGTTTCAATATTCTCATTTTTGTTGTAGTTGGATGCAAGTGATTCAAGCTCCAGCAGCAATCTTTCACTTGCCAAAGTTAGGCCAAGTAGTGATCTTAATAATAGCACTGGACAATCTCCTCATCACAAAGTTCAGAGAAGCATATCTTCTAGCCAGAAGCAGCGGCGGTACAGTGATCACGGTGAGCATTTCTCATTTTCAGTGTAGCAGACAATAGTGACTTCCAGTTCTGCTGGGTTTCTGGATTTGTCTCCACTCCTCCAAGTGTAAGGAGGATGACAACAGTGTAGTTCACAGCATGGTGGTTAAATGCTTTACTAAATAACTAATTTTTTTTTTTAACTGGTTTTGTTATATAGCCTTCAGAAGCAGCTTCTAGAGGAATGCTGAATACACAGTATTAATTCCCTTATTCTGCCTTGTGTTGTCCCTTACATTCCTGACCGTGCTGGGAAAATCTTGTTACACAAATTGAAGGGAATGTTGCAACCCCCTTTTTCATGAAAAGCACAGCTCTCCTCCCCCATGCTCTTGTATGTCTGTTCAGCTTTTGTTTTCTTTTGACACTAGTAGGTCAGCTTGTGTCTAAAACTTGAAGAAATGTCAGTTTGCCAATATTTCTTGTTTCCTGTTTCCTGAGGGTCACTTGATTGTCCTACAGGAATTAAATTTGTTAAGAACAATGACTCAGACAAACTTACAATTCTTCTGCTCAATGAGAGTGCAATTTAGTAGAATAGGGTTTTCTAAATATCTTAAACATCTTCCTGCTCAGACACTTAACTCATAAAAGTAGTCTCAGTTTAGGTCTATTTTGAAATAACCTCAAGTGCATTTAGAGGTTGCTTTCCTTGGGGAGTCTCCTGGGATGACAGTTACTGTGGGTTTTGATGCTTTTAAAACAAGTTTTAGTCATATATTACATATATGTAAATATGTATTTATACGTAGTTTTTTTATGTCTGTGTATATACATACACTTTTTGATTAACTCTTATTAAAACACTAACTGCAAAGTTGATGTAACTTGATGTATTCTCTTCAGAGGTGTAATTGAGGCATCAGAAAACACAATCCTGACAACCCCACAGGCTTTTTCCAGTGTCCAGGAATCTATTAAAACAAGAGGGAGCTTGAGACTATTGAAGGGGCTGCCTCATTCCATTCTCAGGTGTGCTGGAGCAGTTTTCTGTTCCTGGCACACCCGAGGAGGCTGGTGGGGAACTGCTGCCACTTCTGGGACATTCCAAGAGCACAGTTCAACAGCCATTAGTGCTGGTCCGGGGTGATGTCGGCAGGTACCTGTCTGAGGAGCCCTGTTTTATCAGAAATTGGCTTGAACAGCATGTACCAGCTTTGTGCTAGTGAAGGATGGTCTGGTTTGAATGAGTCAGTTACTTGTTAAGTGTCTTTAAGATGACTCTAAGGGGTTTTTCTAGTAAGCCAAACCATGAAATATGTAATTCTTTCATGAAATTCATAATTCTTTCATGGAAAACAAGTAATATCTTCACCTAGAAAGGTTTTTATTTTTTACTATATTTTACTGTCTCCTGAAATACATTCAGTAATTTAAATAATTACCTTCTTGCAACTCTGATTCCCAGTGTTAACTATGTTGATTCTCATGTGTGAATACATTTCCATTGCGGTGAAAAATACTGGACTTCTGAGGAGAAAAATCCTTTTCCTGTTTCTTTTGTTTGTTTTTTAAGCTGGACCATCCATCCCCTCAGTAGTGGCATATCCCAAAAGAAGCCAAACTAGTACTACAGACAGTGACCTCAAAGAGGAAGGAATTCAGGCAAGAAAATCCAGCAGTAGTGCTGTTGCAGGAAGAGGAATTGCACCAGCTAGTCCAATGCTTGGAAATGCCAGCAATCCCAATAAAGCTGATATTCCTGAACGTAAGAAAAGTTCGGCTGTTCCTAGTGTAAGTAGAAATGTTTATTTATCAAAACCTTGCTTTTTTTTTTTTTGGATGGGTAAAAACCTGTGATTTATCAGTGATGCTGATCTTACCTACCTTTACTTTTGGTGAATAGAAAGTATCTCGTACTGTTGCATTTTTTCCCCCCTGCAGTTAGTCAGCTACTCAAGTTACCTCATAGTCAATATTCATAATTAGTACTAGTAGCTCTTAGTGACAGACATCATTTGGGTATTGAAAAGAAAAGTAGTTACATTATTCCTGGTATCACCAGCTACTCTTCTGTGGCCTTCCTACAGAAGAGTGAAATCTTCTGCACAGAGATTTTGTTACCCTGTTTTACAGTTTCAGGTGTATAAGGAGCCACAAATCTTTGTCTCCAAGCAAGTCATAGTTATGTTTATTAAGATTATCAAATGTAGTTCTAAAAACTGTTCAAAGGTGCATTTCAGCCTGTATTCAGAAGTACTGTGCTTGAGTTTTGTCTTTGTGGGCTTCCCCTGCCTGCCTCTAAACCACAACAAGAAAGACACACTAAGGTGCAAAACTAGTGAATTTACATGGTCGAGCAGCGGGCAGGGTGCCAAAAGAAAGAAGATCCTTTGTTCAGCTTGGCTTTAGCTTGTGTACTCTCTGGTCCCTCCATCTGAGGCAAGGTTGGAAATCTGTTCTCGCATAATAAAACTTGAGTCTTGTAGCATTTAATTTCTAAAAATTTAGGATTTTGTTTTGAAAAACTTCCTTCTTTTCTAAAGAAAAGATTCCCAGTCCTTTAATCAGCTCGTAGTGGAGTGATTTTTTTTTTTTTTTAAACTTATCCCACAAAACTGTCATATTTGGTCATAATACTCAGCACCAGTGCTTAGAACAGATGAGAGCAGAACCTCCTGAGCTCACAGCTTTTTGACAGTCTGAAGCAAAAGAAGTAAAATAAGACTTGTTTCACTTTATTGGCTCTGTATTGTCCGTTGGCTCAGTGGCTAACAGTGACTTGGCTCAAGACTTCCAGCCCAAGAGATTCTTTGGAAAAACACATCTACTGTAGCAGCTGTTATTCATTAAAGTGAAAAAGAACTTGGGATTTTGGGGGGGACCCTTTTCTGATTTTTGTGGTCCCCTGCACTTTTTCTTCATTCTTGATCAGTCCAGAAACCATTCAGGTTTGTTTTTTTCTTACATGGCAGTTCTTAGCTACTGAATCTCAAAACTGTAGATAATCAAATCACTTTTGTCCTACCACTTCATGTTATGTGGTGCCTTTTTCAAAAGCTTTGTGTCATGGTTATGACATATTTTACATTCGTTATCTTTTCATCTGCTATTCTTTGATGCTCCTAAATCCTGGAGATTTATTCCAGTAGTCTTATTCCAAATTTCTTAACTACTCTACCTGAAATAATATTTGAACTCATAACCGTAGGATGCTTCTCTGACTTGGTGTGCAACTGATCCTTTACAAGCAGCGATACAAGGTGGTGAACGTGGAATGAGACTTATGATGTCACTCAATAATTAGTGTTTAAAATTGTCTGTGTTTATAGCTCTTCATGTCAGACAGTGCAACTCTTTTTTTTTTTTTTCCCTACTGAAGATGTGTCTTTGGCTTTCTGCTGTTCAAGGTGAAGGGAAGCACTGCCTTTTTACAGTTCCTGCATCTGATTAGGAAGTTTTATTTCTTACAGTATTGACATACTTCTAGAAGGAAAAAAAGTTACTGGAGTTATCATATTGTCCTGAAGTTGAAAAAAGTTTGAGGTGAAGAGAGTTTGTATTCTCACGGAACACTGAAGTCCTAAAATCTGTAATAAGGTGAAAAAACACTGAAAAGACAGAAAAATATTTTATAAAAACAATTATTACTTCAAGAGAACAACAAAAGCAGCAGAGCCAGTCCTTGCTGGAGACCCTTGGTCAGTTGGGTGCTGCTCTTGTTAAATAATAAAGCTTATAAGCATGCACTTAAGGTTAAGAATTGTGGTTGTAGCTAAGTGATAGTTAAGTCTGGGCTTGAATTGAAGTAAGGGGCTCCAAGCTGTACTTCTAAAGTTGACAGAGCATTTAAACTCTCATAAACTAAATAGTTCTGCAAGCTGAACAAGTGCACACCAAAAATCTTCAAGCTCATTGTGCAAATATCAAATTAGAAACAAAAACCTGCTACAGGGCTTGCATAATTAGCAGCAACTAGTAACTCCTTGTTTAAATAATTCCTTGTTCATTACTCACAGCTTTGGATTTTTCTTCAGTGTTGTAATAAGTCTACCACAGAACCCTTAGTACAGCTTCAAGAAAACTGGAAGAGGAGAATAACTGGTACATTTGGAAAATCATTTAGGACCAAATACAATACTGATGCTCTTAAGTAAATAGACTGGTTCACTGTTGTAAATCAGAAGCTGTTTTTTTGAAAGTTTTTCGTCAGTCCTTGCCCTGGTGTCTCTTAATGGGAAAACAGCCTGCCTAAGCAGTGCACACAAGACTCTCTCTAGGAAAAGAGGAGGACTCTGTAGCACAAACTCATCCTTTGTGCTGTGATTGGACCTTGTGCATATGCTCACAAGTCTCAACATGTGCTTTTGCAGTGTCAGCACCTCCTGCAAAGAAGGCAGACAGTACCACGAGGATGAACTTAGGCAGCTAACCCTGACCCTAGGGGTTGTCATTCCATCAGGGAGCAGGGTGCTGTTGATACCAGTTTCCTGTACTGTGCACCTGTGCCATTTAGTCATGTCCAGAGATTAGCAGTCTGAAGATTGGCTGACCAAAAAGTCGCAGCTGAAGAGCTTCCTTGACGAATCGTGAAAGGTCATACGCTAAAAACTGTAAAGGCCCTGACTGTTCTTGCTAAAACTGAAATTCAAAACCTTGAGAGGCTTAAATCTCTCCTCTCGACCTCTGAAATCTGAGCCAAACAGGAAAAAAATGTATACTGATCCTTCCATCTTCAGATTTTAGAATGAACAGAAGTTCATCCTTTACAGTCCTCCAGTTTCAGATGTGAAAACCAAATCTTGTCCACTCCCAGACCTGAAAATGCATAGTCTTTAAGGTTTGGTCCAGCACAGAGATTACTGTTCTTGTCTTTCCAGATGTGCAACATCACGGTGCATTGTAATGTAATGTGGTGTCAAGGGAAACAAAGCATTATTGGATATTCCAGGTGCTCCGTTCTCTGATACGTTAAGGAACACAAAACAAAATGATCTACAAATACCAGTGTGCAATACTTAACTGTACCATTGGTTTGCAAGGCCTCCACAAAGTGTCCTGCACAGCGTGACCTCCCAAGAGCACATAAACAAAACTTCACCTTAGGTGCACAGCTTTCATTGCTATTAACTTTAGTAAAGAGAGGGAAGTTTGCACAGTGACAAATGTCAGGGGGAAGTAGAAGAATCAATAGGGTTTTTTAAAAAAAAACAATTAAACATGTATGAAGACAAGGTGTATGTAAGGACTAAAGTACAACGAAAGGGCTGGGAGGACTTATGATGCTTGGCACATGCCTTTCCCTAAGGAACATCACTGAAGAATCCTTGAGAACCCTTCAGATAGCTACATCCATCTTCTGATTTAATTAATACTTCTGCTAATCTAAAGTACTGTTGATATTCTTTGTACTTTTTAACACCAGGAGGCTGCACACTTCACTGTTGCATTTTAATTTGTACATTTACATAAAAAGATGTATAACAAACAGGTCAGCAGTCTCTCAGGCAAGATGGCTTCATTGTTAAATCTGCAGCTCAGAGATTCTGTTGCTTGAGACCCCTTGGATAGCAAATATTTTGCCTTAAGGCACTGGAGGAGCTTTTGCTGGTTGTTGAGAATACTCCACTTTAACAGTTTTGTTTCAGGTTCGGAAACAAAAAAGGTTTGGCTACTCTCCCTTTGTGCTTGAACTAGTTTTTCCTTTCTTTTTTTTTTTTTTCAATCCTTCTTCCCATGACTCTCCGTGACCGTTTATGCGAAACCTTTTCTTAATGCTATTTTTAAAATCCGCTGAATTTCCCTTGTCTGTCATAGCATAATTCTTCAAAGAACTCCAAAAGGTTAGTTGAGCATGAAGTCCCCTGCCTGACTCTTGGTGGCCATCCTTACTCAACATGTGCTTATCCAGGTGCTGACCAGTCGTTCCCTTAAGTTGGCCTCCTCCAAGACTTTCCCCAGCAGTGATGTTTAAAGTTAATAGCCTATTTTGCTTCCTGCTTTGCCCCGTGATCCTTTTCTTTAAAGAAAACTTTTAAAGGTTTTTTTCCACTTTCCAACCATATGCAGTTTCCTGTGTCTTGTTCTTGGGGTGGGGAGAAAAAAATACAAGGCTTGCCGGCTTTTACTTCCCCTACAACCCGGGGGTGCATGTTTGTCTGGACCACCATGCTTTTCCCACAGTAATTGCATCTAACTCTTTATAATTCTGTTATCTGTGAATTGCCTGTAGCTTCTCAGTCGTTCCTGGAAAATTGACCGCCAACTTGGGCATATCTCCACCCTCTTTCTCTGTAAAGACAGAGGCAAAGTAATTCTATTTCTTTTCTCCCCTCTAAAGTAAGGTCTGTAGTTTAAGTTCCCCTGATTCTCTTGTCCTCAATGTATTATGCTTGTATTTAAATGTATATTTTTAAAAATGTCTTACTGAAATTCTCTGCAACTTGTCTCTTATTCTTCCCTGTTTTTAAAACTTGTCTAATGTTTTATAGTATCTTAATAATTAATAGTCCATGTTTACCTTCCCACTGAATTTTACCACATTTGTTTGTTAAGTCTTTGCTTTTCCTATCTTGTTTAAGGGTTATGATTTTAACTTAATGGAAAATTCTGCAAGCTACAAGTGGTAAAGTATTTCAAAAATAGGCTATAAATATACAGGCTATCCAGATGTAGATGAATGCTGTATATGCTGAGAATTCGTAATTCAGAACATTGGTACTTAAAAACCTTAAGCAGTATTAATTTTGAGCCATCAATATGAAATACAAGAGCAACTTGTTTTGAATTATTTTTTCTGATTGCATTATTCCTTAAAAATAGTAGATGGTGTTTGTATATTAATTTATTTAGTCATTGTCAGTTTTATAACTGTATAGAACTAGGATTAAGTAAAAACAACCTTTGATTATATGTTGACTTAACCCCAGAATCTTGTGGGGAATAACAAGCCTGTGTTTTTTAATTGTAGAATAATACTGCCCCTGGAGCAATGACACGGCGCAACACATATGTTTGTAGTGAAAGAACCACTGCTGATAGGCATTCAGTGATACAAAATGGCAAGGAGAACAGGTATATGAAATGTCTTCCTATGGTGTATGTCCCTTGTCTTCACATTTCCAAAAAAATTGTAATGCCTAATTTGAAAATCAGTAATATTCTAATGTAATTCTTAATGAAAGGTGAGTACAGATCTTCGGTTATGGAGCACCTGTAAGTATGTTGGGGTTTGGTTTCTTTTCTGTACTTAATTTGTATACTCTTCATAATTAGAATGTAAGAGGAAATTTCTATTTTCTGGTTAAATACATGAAATATTTGTAACAGCCTTCATCTTAAATCTGTTGTGAACTCCAGTGACCAAACAACATTGGCTTGCAGAAAAACTTGTTTAGTGCCAGACCACAAAGTCCTTCTCTCTTGAGCCATTCTCTTTTTACATTTCAGTCTAAACTGTGCTTCATTAAGATTATTTTGAATACCATTTTTGCTATAAAGTCTCAGGGAGAAGTTACATTTTTGTCTGAGCAAAGATGAAACAGCAATAGGCAATTTGTCTTGGACTGATGGCATTCCTTACTCTCATACTCTGATAGTCTGGTTGCTTCCCAGCATTTACAGAACTCATCTTGAGGAGGGAAGCAGCTATCTCTGTATTCTGAGTGAAAACATTAGAGAAATAACAAATTTCTTCTTACTGTCATGAATGAAAGCCTGATTAGAGCATGCAATGGAATTGGAGTTACCCACTTCATGTGTTGGCACCATAGTCACATCTAGTGCCATCCTGTGAAGACTGAGAAGAGCTGTCAGAAATAATATAATAGTGAATGTAGATATTAGGTATAGGGTGACAGTGTATACCACCACATTTCTTGGCTGGCAGAGGTATTTTAAGTTCCAACCCTTCTTCTCAGAATTTTGCTGTTGTCAAAAGCTGGTAGCAGTTAAATAGTTCACCATTGCCAGGAGAGGGTCTGGATAGCTGATACTTAATAAAAATGCTTAAGCTTGGAGGAATGTGTACCCCTCTCCTACTCTTCCCAATTTTCTCCACTCCTTCCTAATTTTATGATATTTTGCAAAGAGTGGGAGGAAAACACCTTTTTTTCTAAGTTGTGTTGAAGTTGGTGAAAGATCTGCCATTCTCTGCACAAAATTTTCCCCCTCCTCCTTTTGGCAGTTTACAAGGAAGAGTGGCAAAGTTATGACACTGAGTGGAAGGTCTGTCTGTCCCCTGTTTGATTCCTGGAGCCTAGGGATAAAGACCATGATTTTGACCCTGTCGCTTCCTCCTAACTTTCTGCAAACGGAAAGTGATTAAGGAAAAAGTCAAGTTTAAGTTTGAAGACTGCCAAAAGTCTAGTTGGGCCAGCTGGGCCTGCAGTCAACTGTCTTGTGAAGTGCAGCACAGCTCTTTGGTACTGTCTCTCAGTGTGTCTGTCTCAGCCTTCACTGGTTACTCCTTGTTAATATTAAAAAGTTTGCTTAGATTAAAGTTCGCTATCCTTTCTTTGGTTTGATATCATAATAGCTTTTTTCTTTCCAAATGCTCTTTGAAAAATGAATCTTTCTGTCCAAAAGAGTTTTGATCATTTTTTATTACCTGATTTGTTTATTTAATATAATTTTTGTTCATCCTTAAACTAATATATTTGTAATACCTTGTCCACAATTTCTTTATTACATTTTTTAAAGTTACTAGGTATCGTTTACTAGGAGTGCTTGAAATTCAGATGTCCCCTTAATTAACAAGTAACTTCATACTCATAAGGAACTGTCTTTTGAATTTTTTCCCCAACTTTGAGTTTCTCAGCAAACTGATGTCTTTCTGGTTTGTCATATATGGACATTAATCTCAAAGTTAACATTGAGTAGCACTTGGCAATTATATCAGTAGTATTTTATATCCAAATTGGTTATTCTTGTGTAATTTACCTTTTATTGTCAATATGATATTTAAACATCATTTGCTTTTCCTACAAATTAGCCTTATTTGGGTTATTTGAAATGTCTGAGAATTTATACCTATATGTATTTTTATATATTCATTGTCAGGTAAAAAATAACTTACAGCTTTTATCATGTATGTTTGATTACAACATTCATTACTCTTCAAAGAGGGTTAAAAAGAGAAAAGGTAATGGCAATGCTTTGCTAATTGTATTACAGTTGGAGACCGGTTATTGTCTGAAATGCTTTAGTACTAAACTGCATGTTCATTTTGGCACAGTTTCAGAATTACTGTGATTTGGCACAGAATTCACAATTTATGTCTGAATATATTTTGTTGCTGTAACTGGGTAAAGCATTGACTGGTCACATGAAATGCAGGGGCCTTTAATGCAGGCTAAATCAACATGGCTATTGATGGGACTGGCTCTTCAGAATGAATCTCTAATGTTATTGTACTCTCGGCTTGGCAGAAACTAACTTTAGAAACTTGTTCTTTTTTTCTTCTGTGAAGCAAGATCTGAAGTAGAACCTGGGCTTTGTACAAATCCAAGGGTTGGTTAAAAATTATTTCTGTGCTTTTGAAATGTCTATTGGTGGCAAATGTTGCAGGCAGGAGTAATTGCTGTAACTGATTTGTTACAGATTGGAGTTTAGATTTTCCATAGCCAGTCAGATACTGACTGTGACGCAGTCAAAACTTGGGAGACTTACCCTAAAAGGCAAGATACACACGCTTAAAGTCTCTATTTTTTCTATAGAGAAATTAAGATGTTGCTTGTTCTGTTTTTATCTTGCACATTAAATTCTGAGAAGGCACTGTTTTTGAAAGTATGGAAACTCCGAAGAATCGATAGTCAGCAAGTACATATGATGTCGGAGAAAGTAGTCTTGAAAACCCCATGCCAGACTGGTAGAAGCAACGAGTTTTTAAGTCTCACATCTCTAACACATTGTGTGGCTGACACAGTCATTCTGCTGGAGATGATTCTTCTGGCTTTCCTCCAAAGCCTGAGCATTAATTAACGCACTTGGGGACTCATGAAACACTCTTCATAATGATAGGCAATTGCTTTAAATCATTTGTAACACAAATGATTTACAACAGCTTCAGATTTTTAATAAGCCTTGGCACTAATTGGTGATTGTTAGCTCAGTGTTCCTGTGTTCCCAGGCTAGTAATCCAAGGAAGCTGATTTCTAGAAAAGCACCAGAGGAAAAGGTATAAATGTTTTAATATGTGCTCTGGTCCCTTATTGATACTTTTAGATGTCACATCTTTGGAGGCAGCTGACTAAATAAAACTTGGGTCTAATGTGTTGTAAAACTAGAATCTTTCTTTTCTATCTTTTGCAGCAAATAGAGAGGAAAGGAGCTAGGAGTTCTTGAGAGGCTAGTGACCAATTATTTGGGGAGTACTTGACTTCAGGGTATTAGTTTTGAGATGAATGTTCATTTTCTTACAATTTCTTAATACCCTGGGGTAATTTAAATGCTGGGCTGTGTCGAAGGCTTCATTGTAAGTAGTGCTTGTAGTTGGCATCCTGATGGATTTAGCATTGCAAAACGATGCATGCATGACTCACATTAAGTTTTCTAGATCCTGAGAAGTTAAAAACAAACCAAAGCCAAGTATATTTTGCTAACCATCGTAGTGAGCCATTCAGGAGTCTGAGCTGTGTGGTGCTTTGTACCAGTGTTTTGGGAGCTGAGCCTGAGAAGTGGGTCAGCTGACACTTGTAGCTGGACTAGCATTCACCTCTCCAAAGTCTGACATACCACAGTTAGATAATGGGACTTGAGTTTCAGTGCATCTCACCATGAAGTAACTTGTAAGTGAACATGCAGTGTCAAGAAACTGTCGCTGACAATTACTGATTCCTTAACCTCGAGCAATATTTCTGAATTACAGTTGCCTTACTTTTAAAGCAAACTTCAGATGAATGATGTATGGTAGTGTGGTCTGAAGGGCCCAAAATATCTTGTGACTTCTCACCTTTCTCCTATCCTTATCATTGCTAGACAAGGTGAAGGCTGCAAGGATTATTTTGGCCCAAAGAAAGAAAAATATTTCATGCCCCTGTTTTATCATATTGTACAGCTGGCAGCCTACTGACCATTCTACTAAGACAGTGCTGTATATATCTTCCTTCAAAGCCTGAATAGTAATTTGGAGAATTTAATGTTTGTGACCAAGCAATATGAGATGCTTCTCAACAGTCACATCTCTTTCTTCAGGCAACAACAGGTGTATTCATTGCCTACTGCATGTACAGGTTGATGATTACTAGTAGCCTTTTCCATTTGGCCTCTCTGGAGCTGTTAAAGGTCATTATGTTTTTGGTTTCAGTTGTACCTGTGAAGTCCCTCAGTTATCAGATGTAGATTTGACAGCTTGCCCACCTTACACTAATTTCTTTTTAACACGGTTACATTCTGAAAACAAAGGATTTCAGTGCAGTAATGGAGCTAACATCAGTCTTTTGGAAAGTGCATTTGGTGGGGGTTTTAATGCATTGTTTACTGTTAAGACCAATACAAGTCACATCAGTGTTTTGGCACAGAATTCTGAGTTATTCAGGTTCTATACATCAAGGAGGGTGTCACTGCAAACTAACACTAATGGTAAGAGCATGGTCACTTCATAGATGTCAAGTGCTATAGTAAAGATGCTTTTTAAGGGAAGTGTAGGGTAGTTACTGCTGTTTACGTAGAAGAGGGCTATTAGAGTTCGTGTTCTTTGATAAACCAGTTAATAGAAGGAAAAGTTTGCTTTTTTTTTTCTATGCAGTAGTTTGTTGTTGGTCCATCATGCTCTTCTTTCTGCCTCTGCCTGAACCCAAACCCCCTCGCAGCCTGACAGAAATGTTCGCTTACGCAGCTAGCCCTGCTTCAGTTTGTACTACATCCTTCTCCAGTGTTCGGCTGCGACATCAGAAGTCGATGTCCATGTCAGCCTCTGTGCACACGAAGATGATGTTGCCTCCAATAGACAATGGCGCAGATAACTTCAGGCCTATGTAAGAACCTGAAATCGTTGTGAAACTAACTTATACCCACTGCTTCTTAACTTTGTGCTGTGGAATTTTAGTCCTAGATTGTTCTAGTATATATTGCCCACAAGATGTGTGTTTCCTCATTTTTTTAGTCTTGTTTACATTTGTCTTGTGGTGTGTCAGGCTGTCTGTGACATAATCCTGCAATAGTGAACCTTAATTTTTTTCCTATTGTTAGGAATATTGGACATTCCCTATTGTCAAAGTTTGTGGGAGACTTTAACTGTGTATCCTGAAGGACTTCGCTACTTGGAGCGGTTTGCTTGTAGAGAATTTTGTGTAGGATACTTTCAAATTAGCAAGACTTTCAAAGATGTATGTATATACAGAATGTGGAGGGAGAGACATTAAAGTTACCTATTGCTTCTCTTTCCTGGGAGGAAACTTTTACTGGTCTATTCTTTTATCAGTCTTCTCAGTGAAACGTTGTATGCCTGGTTGATCTGGTCTTTTCCAGGATACTCCTGTTGCACTTTTCTGCCTATGTGGGTTTCTGTTTCGGCAGCCTTTTAATCCTAACTTCTTACAAGTTTTGATTCCATACAGTGCTGTAATAATGTTGGTATTTCCAACCCTGGCCTATATAAAAGTGTCTGCTTATGCTTTACTGTAGAACGTAGTGTTTTGTGTCTCCTGCTGAACCGTAGTGCTTCTGTAAAGACGTTCTAGCATTGTTTTCTTGTTTTCTGCCCTAGCGCTATTCCCGATCAAAGAACTCCCGTTGCTTCAACTCACAGCATTAGCAGTGCAACCACACCTGATCGTATTCGTTTCCCCAGAGGAACGGCCAGTCGGAGCACGTTCCACGGCCAGCTCCGAGAGCGGCGCACCGCGACCTACAACGGGCCGCCCGCCTCCCCCAGTCTGTCCCACGAGGCGACACCACTCTCACAGACTCGAACCAGGGGCTCCACTAATCTGTTTAGTAAACTAACTTCAAAACTAACAAGAAGGTAAGCCTCGTAAAACAGCAGTGCAACATTCCCTTTTCTTTTTCTCTTCTGTTTGTTTTTATAGTAGAAATTCCTAGTAGCTCAGTGCTTAGGTGGTTTTGTCCACATTCTCTGATAAGTGGCTTAATTTCTGCAACTTAAAATGCACTTGCTTATGATTTTTTTGTAGTTCTTTGTTACAGAAGCCATTTGTTTTTAGCAGTTGAATCAAATGGGATTAAAGAAGTTTGGTCTGGGCTGTGTCTTCTGTGCTCTTCAGCCTCATGTCATGAATGCTGCAGAGATGAAACATTTCAGCTCAGTTGAAAAGCTGCTCACTGACTGTGTGGTCCATCAGTAGATGGCATAAACTAGGATCCCAGTCTCAATGTTTAATGTAGCGTTAGAAGCTCAGACTGTGTTTCCCAGTCACTCTGTCAGTGTTTCCAGAATAACCTTGCTGGCAACACACAAACAGAAATATTACAGGTGAAAGGGTAGCAGCAGGAGGCAAAAGCTTCTACTGGCAGTAGTGCTATCATAGGCCATTTTAAAATTGGCAGTACTAGGGTTTCAGTCTAGGCAGAAATCTGATCAAACCTTGAAAACCTATTGCTGTTTTGACCTTTAGTTCATGTGCAGATTCTGGGTTTGGTGTAAAGGTGTTTTGCTCTAGCCAAAGCCTTGCTTAAGCAGGTGTTGCCCCTATGCTAACTGTTCATATTCTAATTGGACTTCTAATTCTAAATCCATACATGATTTAAATTGATTCCTACAAACCCAAAATTAAACCCACCTTTTTTCCTTCTGTATTTAAAACCCACCAGTTCACATACCACTCTTATATCTACAACTTGTGTTTGTAGAACTAAAGTCTTATTTATCTTTGCTTTAAGATAATCACCAAAATTTTGTATCCTCCTTATGATGTGAAGTTTTTTGGACAATATTATTCAGATCTTGGCCTGCTAGCTTTTGTTTTAGGCTTATACCACATGAGCACCAAGCCATTTCCTTCCTGTGTGTTTTATGACTATAGATGACTCCCTCTTTGTAGTCTCCCATTCCTACAGTAATGCTAAGCCAAACTCCAGTTTTTCACAAATGGGTGATTTCAGTTTAGAGTGAATTTCTTTAAACATTTAGAAATTGTTTCTGCGAAGAACAAAAACATGACAGTCTAGTAAGTGTTTTAATCTGTTCAGTTTTCTGCCAGGTATCACTTCCCTGGGAAATCCTATGCTTTAGGAAATTGGGTTTGGGTTTTTTCCCCTTATTTTTCTGCTGAGAGAGAGAAGCTTTATTTGAATATTTTTAATAGTTAAGTAATCTGCTTTATATCAAGTGAAGTCTTAATCAGACACATCCTTTTGTCACTTCTTTCCTTCTGTAGTTTTGTTTGTAATATCCTTACTTAATTTTCCATTTGACATTCCAAATGTGGACACTCAAACTGTGAACATGCAAACTTTTCACTCAGTTGTTTAGGCAGCATTCAAACTTCTATCGTTACCTCCAAGTTTCAGCTTTTGCAGTGCAGTGTGGTTTTCTTGAAGAAGTTTTCCACACAGCTTTTGACAGTCGTTTGAATTCCATCTGGACTTGATTAAATAACATGCAGTTGTAACACAATAGCACTGTTACAGATGGTTGGTTTGCACTTGGAGGACCTCCTACAGCTGGGGCTCTGTTATACTTGGTGCTGTACAGACTACTAAGGAGGTGGATAGTGCCAATCAAAGGACAGGGTTATATTTCTTCTCTTTAAGTAATTTTTTAAGCATTAAAACTTGTTAGTTTACTCTAGCGTTCTCTATGGGTAATCAGAATTCTTTTGATTATGAACTGCTTATATTCTGTGTAGGCAGTTGTTACAGCTTGTGCCACTAAATTAGCTAAATATTTAAAGCAGTTTTGGGCACAACATAGCTGACCTGGTGTTATAAAGGAAGGAAGAAACCTAACTCTGAAGATAATCAAGATCTAGATGCTGTAGAGTTACTGATTTTTGTTTCTATGGGAAATATATGAAGAAAATCCAAACATATTTTTATGTGACCTTGCAGATTTTGAGCTTTAAAGTGTTTTGACACCAGTACATATTTTCATAATACATAAATTCATAATAAGTACTGGTGACATATTTCCCTGAAAAATTTGGAAGTAGCAGTGCCAAGAGTTTGACTCTTCAGACCCTAAATCATCTGCCTAATCTGAGAATGTATTGAAGTGTAATATAATTGTGCGTTTAAAATGAGATTTTTTTTGCATGCTTCACTCTAAATGCCTTCTTCAATTTATTTTGTACAACATTTTTTGTTAATCATTATTTTGGCTTAATTTCTTTTAGAAACATGTCATTCAGGTTTATCAAAAGGTAGGATTTATTTATATTTAAAAAAAAGTGGCTCCTGCAATTAACAACAGATTTGGCTTTTCTAGCCTTGGTTTTTCTGAAAACTAAATTTCCTGCTGAGAACTAAATACTTTCTTTCTTCAGAGGAAAGCATAGAATAAATCCATTAACTCATGATGATACTTAAGAATCTGTGGCACCTGTATAACAAGATGCTAAGCATGCCTTGTGAATTCTTCTTTCTGTGATAGAGTTGGTAGTGCCAAAGTAATTCTGTTCTCTGTACTAATACACTTAGCATGCTTATGTTTGAAGAATGAGGTGTTTGATAACAATGATGAAAGTATAAACAAAACATAAGGTTACAACCAAATAAAGGTAAGTGATGTTAAATTTACATTATCTTTGTTTTATGATGTTTAAGAAAAAATAAGATTTGAAGTGTTGTCTGCAGCTGATACAATAGGAAGCAAACTGAGCATAGTTGTGAATTGAATGGTTTTGTGTGGAAGATTGAATGAAGATGCAATGGCTGTGTATTTGTTTTAAAATGGGGTGCATTTGCTGAAGTGAATTGCAGCTGAAGTGCAAAGAGAGCACTTCAATTCTAAACAAAAAGTACTTCTATGCAAATTTATTAACAGAAGGGAAAAGCCCAAAAGTCTGAATCACATTTCAAGTCCAAAGGATTTAATTTAGTTTTGCAATCTGGAAATGAATCAGGCTGCTATATATCTTGTTAATCCATTATGATTCATGAATGTCAGTTATACAATTTTGATGTTCAGGTAAATTTTCCAATAGAATTTTGTGATAGCCTGTTTAGTTGTATCGTATTCTGGAGCTTCTTAAAGGGTGGTACTTCCAATTTCCTACTACTGATCAAAAGTAGGGAGATGGGGCCAAAAATCAGACATCTGCTTTAACTTTCAAAATACAGAGCTATGCATGTGACTGTAATTTGACGTTTTTCAAGGAAATACTTAGTTTAGAGGGAGGCCTGAGATGTGTAAATTACTGCCTAAATTTTGATTTTTAATATACAGTCCGAGGCTAAAGGTACCCTATCTAATTAAATGACTAAATTCCATGCCATGGTAATAATAATCAGTGCTCTTCCAAACGTGACTGTGTTTAAAGTTGGTTGAGTTGGTTGGCATTGTCACAGCTGACTTGAGGAAAAGGAACATGGAACAACTGTTAGTTAAGGAAAGAAAGCATCCAACACAGCACACAGATGAAACTGAGCAGTGGCAATGGTTTTACCTCATCGTGCATCATGAGCTGTGGGGTGCAAACCACTTTATTAGAGCTTTTGTCTCCTTCTGTAGTCACATTGCTTTTAAAACAAAGGATTGCCATCTGTGCAACTCTCCACAACTGGATGCATCTAAGTTTGTTAAACTGCTGCTCCAAAGAAAGCTGGGAAATGCTAATAGGAATACAGTTTTAAACTAGAAGGTTACTGTTCAAATTTGAGACTCAAGGTAATTTTTAGATAACTTAAAAATTTCCTTTGACTGGAGGCTAGGAGTCTTAGACCAGTGCGGAAACAGCTGCTACAGCTTCCATGAATGTCTTTGAATAAGAGATTTGCCAAATCTTACACCACCTACACAGGACCAGACTGTGCTTTTTAAATTCTGTTTTAAGTGGGCATGGTGTCCCTCCATACCTGATCTGTATGCAGGTACAAAACCTGAAAATTTGGGGGTTTTGCCAATTTTTTTCTTGCTGTATGTGCTATGGCTCTTTCCCAGGATCACTGCATTTGATACTGAAAGAACTACTGTAACCAACTAGCACATATACAGAGTACCACAACATCAGTTCTACGAAGCTGAATAAAAGTAGATAATCAGTCATTTGTTGTTAAACTGAGTTTTATTATTGTATTCAGTACACAGATACATATATATATATATGTATATGTATGTATATCTTGTACTATGCACTGTCATTGCCAATCTGCATATTGTGGAAGTCTAACTTTTTTTCTGACAGCGAAATGACTCAATGTTCTGGATTTTATTGCGGCATCATTTCTCCATTTTCATAAACTGATCTTATTTTATCATCTTGCACTTCCTGTTGGTTTTCTGTAGACAGTTTTCTTTGTATTTATTTGGATTTTTAAAACTGAATATACAAAGATGTAAAGAACAGGAAACACAGCGTAACTCAGGACAGATGTGTGGAACCAGTCTGATTTGTGAAAGCCTTTCACAAACCATAAGGGAGATAATGTGCAGGTATTGCGTGACAGATAAGAACATAACTTGCTCATGTATTTGTTCCAGTCTCGAGACCAAAGGAGCATCTTGGTCCATAAAATCAATTTATGTAAAAACACAAGCAAAAGCAGAAAATTTAGAACACAAACTAACACAGTTGTGAAGATTGTATTAGCAGTGAGGAGGCCTCAGGGCTGCATCTCACTTACAGACCCATGGAAACAATACTGGCAATACAGTAAGTGACTGTTCCCAAAGCACCAGTGCTGGGCTGTAGAACTGGACTGTAACTGTGTCCATGGTGAAGGAAGGAGAGACTGGCACAGCTCTCCAAAGCTTGGCATCATCCAGAGCTCATATTGGAGGGTGCGCGTCACTGAATGCAGTTGGTCGTGCTCAGTGAATGGAACATTGCTGCATGGAAAAACTGAACAAAGTCAGGATTCTCTGAGAGGCTTCCATGAAAGGGTGTTTATTATGTCAAAGTGGCAGGTATATTATAAATAATGACCTTTCTTAGATTTAAAGTACAGTGGTTGACAAACGGAGCAATCTGGCTTAATTTCAGCCTGAAAAGGGTGTCAGAACATCATTAGAGATTTTTCCTTACAGACTTCTCTGGACAGATTCCAGTAACAGTAAGACTATTCATTGTTGGGGAAACTGGTTATGCTCCTATTTTCTACAACCTTCGGCAAGTGTCAGAGCAAAACACAAAAAAACCCCACAAAAATCCATAAATGTTTGCAGCTCTTAAACAAAGCTGCCATCTTCCACTTTGTAGGAACAGAGGAGGCTCTTTAAAGTTCAAGTACTCCCCCAATTTTCCAGCTGAGAAGTGTTTTTGAACTTGATTGCTTTGCCCAGTAAAACAGTCATTTGAAAGGTGTGGTTCTGTTCAGTTGGTACATGTGATGGTTCTCTCCTACCTACCCTTTTTCCTGTCCTGTAGAGTTGCTGTAGAGGGTGATTTCTTGGGTATACAGACATGAAAAATCTTTTTCCACCTTCCCATGAAAATAACTACAATAGCTGCCCACTTTGAAGCTCTAGAATTAGCCAAGGACTTACCAATTGTCAGTCATCTTACAAGGCTGATCCCTCACAGCAGCCCTCAAAAGGAAGGAAAGGAGGAAATTAAGCCTTGTAACACCCCACACACCTGATAAAAATACCACTGTGCATCAAAAAATAAGCTTACTGTCTTAGATTCCTATCCCTAGACACCTGTCAGCCAAACTGCTGTGATAATTTGCATTATTCAGGGAAGCCAAGTACTACCTTAGATAGTCTCGATAAGAGCATTGTACAGGCAGCATCCTTCCAAGCAGAATTAACACTGATATGTCAAACCATGCTACTGCAATAATGGGAAGGTAGAGGGAGGCAATTTTCCCCTCAGTTCTTCTTGATCCTGGGTGTTTAAAAAATGGCAGCGATCTGCAATGTAGCTTTAAGCAATGCAAGAAGACAGAAAGCTTAAGCTTGATCTTGGGTGTGGAAGATGCATCAGTGTGGGAATTAATAAGATGGAGTTACCACAACTTGAGAAATCTTGGATTTATGTCTTACATTTTTGTTAAAATGTATATGCATCTTCTTTTGCATTAAGGTATTTTGGTATTGTTTAAACACCTCAGATCTGATGTGCATGCAGATACACAGGGTGATCAGACTTGTCTGTAAATAGGTTTGTTTTTTTCAAATAGATATTTTATTCCCAGATAAAACTTTTAACTTTCATTAGCCTGAAAATAATTGGGAGTTATTTCTCTTTTAGGAGTTACTTACTGAGTAATACAATCACTACAGTATGCTTTGTAACTTTAGTTTCACATTTTCTGCTTTTAGAACCTCAGCTTTATTCAGTGAGTTCTGCAGATTTAATATATAAACATACACTGTTAAAATTATATATGGTAGTTTTAAAAATAGTTCATAGACTCCCATTTGGTTTGACAAGATGTTATATTCTGAGTTTGGCCTAACCTACAAAGTTCTTTACATCTTTGTTGATTTGTATTTTAACACACCTTTTGTATGATTGCAGTATCTTTTAGCAGCTACTCAGATATTGTATATTGTAGTGTAAGATTTGTCTTCTCTTTCCCACTTCCTTTTGCTTCTGCATTCTTTTCAATGAGGCTCCCGACTGAATATGAGAGGAACGGGAGATTTGAGGGCTCAAGGTGAGGGTAAAATTTTTGTTCAAAATGTTACTTAGGTGAGTTTGAACCTTTCTCCCCTTGATTATGTGGCATAGTGGCTTCAGGCAGCAGCTTGTGTTTCGTGTTAAGTCATTGAAACTAAACAAAGAAGCATTTCTGTCTGCGAAACAGCTATTAAAGCACTGACTGACTTGGTTCTAAACTTTCATCTTTCCTGTTTCCTTTTCCCATGTGTGGGTTTTTGGTTTTTGGGGTGTTTTTTTTTTTTTTGCATTTTAGTCATTGTAATTTGCTGTTGTCGTGTAGATGTCTAGATAACTGGTCTCTAGTGAGGCTGCAAATGTGTGGAATAACCACTGAAAGGTGGCAAGATATTTCTCATCTCCAAAATCAGAGATAGTTAAATATTTTTCACGTTATACTCTTCATCCAAAATTAACATATCAAAAAATACTAGAAATTATTGAACTTTGTGCTGGTTTTGCCAACTGCTGATTTCAAGTAGAAAAAGCTTTCAAAAATAAAATTAGCATTAAATAAAAGTTGGGTTTTCCCCTGGCCCCTTACAGCCTTATTAAGTTAAAACCTTAAAACAAAATACTCTTTAATTTGCTTGATGAATTTTGTAACATCTGGCAAATCACAGAGCTGGATTTGACAGCGTACTCCTATGACTCTCAGAGTCACTGGAAGTCTTTTGATAGAAGACAAATTATGAAAGATGTTATCTTTAAGAAATATATGTATTTAGTTGTGGCCTTGCTATCACTTTTTATTTAACTTTTTCATAATTGCCTGCTTAATGGTATTGGAGGAAAAACACTGTGTAACCAGAAATTCATTGCCAACTGTTATAAAGAGCAGCTTGCCTTAATATTGTGAATTGAACTTGGAGGCTCAGCTTGAGACTTCAACTGCATGGGTTGGGGTCAGTTAGGTTAGCTATTTTCAGGAAATAGTTAAGTATGACAGGTTATTTAAATTTGAAGAGGCAACTGATAGCGTACAAATATTCATAGAGTAAATCTGTATTTTTTTCCCTGGAGGTCCAGATGTAGTTCCTTATTCTTTAGCTGCATGACCACTGATTTTAATTTAAGGTAGAAGAATGATTGTAAACTAGAAATTTCTGGAACGTTTCTTTCCTTTGTCCTGTATGATTTTATTTACCCTTACCAAAGGAAAGGCTTTTTTATTAAAAAAAAAAAAATGGTTGCAGACTTGGGAAGCACAGGCTCAATATTTTGTGCTTCATCTCTTAAAACTGTCACCATCTTCTCAAACAACATCAAGGTGTCCAATAGCGATTTCCAACTCCTCTTCCTGCACATCAGCCTCAGAGGCACTTCACTGCAAAGCTTGTAACCACAAAAGATTCCATCACTTTACCTCTGTCAGTCATTGGTATTTAAGAAATTACTGACCAACTTCAGATGAAGCATCTCATCACCACTGAAGGCAAGCACAGTATCCTGCAGTGTCTGGGTCTCTAGGGATCATCTCAAACACACCAGCACAGGAAGGCCAGAGTGTAACTGAACCAGTCCAAACCTGGGGCTGCGTGTTGACCCTGGGGCAGCAGGTTGGTGCCTCTGGTCCTGCCGTCCTTCCTCCTGCTTCCAACCAACTACTGTGGGACTCTCTGGGCCCTCCCAGTGCTTGGTCTCCGAGCTGCTGCACAGGAGGAGGTGCAGAGGAACCCCCAGCACTTTTCTGCACGGGCTCACCCTGGCACTGGCACTCTCTGAGCACCCTTTTGTCACAAGTAGCTGTTGTTTGAATGTTCCAGAAACTTCTAGGACAGAGCTGATGTTCCAGCTGTCCACGTGGCCCAAGAATAGGGTTTTGAGCAGAACCTGCCTTAAAATCAAGTCATGGGTGATGCATGTAATTCTGCCTCCAGAAGGTCATTCTTGTCATGCTCCTGAATCCAGTGACTTCCAGTTGTCACACATTGTGCCAAACCTTGGTTTCAGCCCCAGCAGCTAATGCTTTACCCTGACTGTGTGTGTACAGGCAGCTGGGAACGTGGGGCTTGGCTGGGAGCTGGAGCCTCCAGATGCTGCTCTAATACCAGTAGTGTGTGTTGAGTGTTAGTTTGCTTCACTAATGTGACCCGTGGGGGAGGTGGCTGGTCCTGCTCACTCATAAATTCCTGTCTTTCAGCCGCAATGTAGCTGTGGATCAGAAGGATGAGAACAAGGAAGCCAAGCCTCGGTCGCTACGTTTTACCTGGAGCATGAAAACCACCAGCTCCATGGATCCCAATGACATGATGAGGGAAATACGAAAGGTCCTGGATGCCAATAATTGTGACTATGAACAAAGAGAGCGTTTCTTGCTTTTCTGTGTCCATGGAGATGGGCATGCGGAAAACCTTGTACAGTGGGAGATGGAGGTGTGTAAACTGCCAAGACTGTCCCTGAATGGAGTTCGCTTTAAGCGGATATCGGGAACATCCATAGCTTTCAAAAACATTGCTTCCAAAATTGCCAATGAATTAAAGCTGTAACAAGAAAAATAGTTAAGTTGTAAATTAGTTAGCAATTTCAAGTGTTTTTGAGAATTCCGATGGAAATGTATAGAATAACATTTAGGCAATAACTTCTGCATCCTTCTGAATAGTGATATTAAAAAAAAAAGCTGCTGAGCTGGGAGGGAGAGTTGGACTTTTTTATAAGTGCACTACAGCATTAAAGTTGCCTACTATGTAAAATATTACCCCTTCTGCTTTATTTCCATTGCTCTTTGACAACAAATTGAAACACAGAATATATTCATTTAAATATGCCTCCTGTTTGTGTGGATGTGTGAATGTACAGTATGTGTGTAATATATAAAGTATTCTATGTAAACAATTCATTTACGACATCGAGCTGTACCAGTACCTCTTTTTGGGCTAATTTTGGTGCTAAAAATTGAAATGGCCAAGGAGGAAACACTTGAGTTAATATTTAAAATGATTGAAGCGATAACCAGTAAATGCAGGTTTACAGTTCACTGCTGTGTTAAGGAAAAAAAAAAAAGTGTGTGAAGGGTTTGGATTTACGGTTGTGAACATGATTAGTCCTGTTTTCTAACTAGATCTCATGAGATTATTAAAAATTCACTTTTACTGAGTAAGTCTTGCATTATATTTTGCCCACCTATTTATTATTTAAGTCTGAATCAAATTTTAATAATGTAGTTAATTTGTGCATTAATATTTGGGTAAACTCTTCCATTCTTCTGCTTCTGCTAAACTACTAAAATTGTATCTTTGTCCTTTTGGCTTATGGGTATTGATCGCAGCTAAGAACACTTCTCTGTTGTTCCACGGTTCCCCTAGGGAACTGGGCAGTCTAAAAGGAGGTGCTAATTGCTGACTAGTTACTTTCTTTCAGAGCAAGTTTTCCAGTTAGACTAGGTCAGACTGATACAAAGCACAAAGGGACTCTCAAATAAAGGCCGTACTTCACTGCAAGCTGCCATATCCCAGTTGGTGCCGCTCTGAGGTCTCGCTGCAGGTAGGGCAGTGCTGTCCCTTCGTCCTGGGTGCACACAGCATTGAAACCCAAAAGTGGGAATCAAATTGGCCACTGATCTCCTGTGTTGTAATGTCCCAACTTGCTGAACTATAGCCATAGGCAGTAGCAGTTAAAACTTCTCCTTGCAGCTCCCTTCCGGCGTGCTTCCCCTTGGCTCCGGTTGTATTGCTTTTGATGGCTCTGTGCCAGTTGTGTCTCTGGCTCCTGCTGCCGAGAGAATCCTCTGCTAAAGTGCAATGTGGAAACCCGCCCTTGATGAACCCTCTGATGGCCAACTAGCTTTCGGTAGGACGTGAAGCTGCTCTGGGATAGTCCCCACGTTTTAACCATCTCTGCGGTGAGCCGGATCTGAGTTTGCAGACTCAGAGATTTCTTCATGCACTGTTTCCTACTGATACTCAGTTTATTTCATCGAGGACTTGTGTAGATAATATCCTGCATTATCTACTTGACTTTTTGTATTAATGTTTTGTGGTTATATTTCAGTGAAGCACTTAAGCATGTACTTAACATGTGCTTTAAACTGGAGCCTAAATTTGCATTTTAAATTTGCAGTGAGCTAATAGTTACTCATAGTACACAGTTCAGATTTGACCCGAGGTGGAAATGCAAAGTCCTTAATATTTTGCAAGTTAGTTCTTGTGATCTGTAGTCTGTGAAGGCAGCAGACTTCCCCTCTCTTTCCCCCTAAGCATTGATATTGATTATGCTAGTTTAAAGGGTAATCATAGTTGTTAAATGTAGTAAATACTCCTGAATTTACATTTTATTCTCTGTATATTCTGTATCATGCCATGGCTTGAGAACTCCAGGTGCTACCGGAGTTCAGTTGGCTTTCAGTGCTCTGCCCGTGCCTGTGCTGCTCAGTATGGTTTTTTCCATGAAAACTCCATTTTGTAATAGCAATAAGACATTTCAGGGCAGTCATTGTACTTTCTCAGGTGAATGGTCACCTACCCTTTCACTTCCTACGTTTTAAGCACTCCTCCAAATGTATTTTTTCACCCGGCAGTGCACTTTGTTGTCTGAACTGAAAAAGTGTTCTGATAAATGATGTAAATCTGTATTCGATGGAAGTTCCAAAAGGTTTCATATTAAATGTTTTCTGAAATCCTCTCTTCCTACTTCACCTGTTAAGTATGTAAGTGTTTCTAAAAAAAAGTGCACCACTATCATTCTTTGGATATTTAAAGTTTGTACTTCGGTATTTTTTTCTTAAGGTGTTCTCAAAAGGTTCTTTCAGGGTAAATCTTTATTTGAGGTATTAAAAAAATCACTGATTATAATCAGAAAGAGATTTTTAACACCTTCCTTCCCAAATGCCTTGTAAAATTACTGAGTTGCAAGAATATACCCTTGTTTCTTTAGCACACTGCATGCTTGGTGTTCCAGCCTCTGGGAGTTGCCTGGGAAGGAAAAGTGCTTTCTTCAGCTCTCCAAACCAAAGACGAACTGCTTCCCAAACACAGGCCTTTTACCTGTTCATATTCCCTGGGAATCTGTGTAAGTTTGCAGGCACTGCCACTGGTAAGGACTCTGCAGAACCACAGCTGGTTTTCCTCTTCTTAAAAGGCAGGTTTTAAAAATAATCAGAGGTCATTGTGTGGTGAGGAGGTAGCAGGAGGCCTGGGTGTTTTGGGACACATGAATAGCAACCAAGAAGTGTTTTTATGTAATGACATGAATGTTGCTGTGGAATGTGTGGTCCAAGTGGTGTTGGGGGGTGTTTGTAATGGGCTCCTGACTAAAGGTTTGCATCGCTGAAACCCGTGTCATCCAGCTCTGAGGGTGTCTTTTGATTACTGGGTCTGGCAGAGAAAAATGTCTTACAGTTTGGGTTGCAGGAGTTTACTGCATTAAATAAAAATGTTTAAAGATACATACATAAAATAAATACCTGAACACTGAGCATGAACAAACAAGTCGAGATACCCTTTTTCTTATGCAAACCTTCCCTGTACTTAGGGTTTATAAAACACTTCAGTCTGTTTGACCTCTTGACAAGGTCTGAGGTCCTCGACCATGTTGAGAAGAAGTAGAGAGAGGAACAGCTACTCCTGTTGTCTAAGTGTTTTGCACTCTACTTCTACTCAAGATACAGCATCTGGTCCAATCTTTGTGAGTTGAAAGATTTTTAGTACAAATTTGGGCACAGTTAACCTCTTTCTCTTGTATTACAGTGAGGTTTCAAGATAACATATAGTGAGATACTGTATCCTAATTTTTTAATTACAGCATTTCATGTCAAGGTAAATTAGATTTTTTTTTTTTAAATACATGAAATTAGGATCCATATGTTTATGTTGCAGAAATTAAATGTGAGGTTCAGGAGTCCTTCTAGTCATATGGAAAGATTGTAGCAGATCTGGAATTTAAATAGAGATCTCTCCAGTTCATTTAAAAGCTCAGCTATACATGGGTCCGTTGGGATAATGCTTTTAATCAGTATTTCCCACAGCTGCTGTGTCATGGACCATGTTGTGGATTGCAATTTAATTAGGACTGCAGCCAACCCAGAGCCATTTTCTCTGTAAGCCCTGGTCTGGAGCAGCAGTTTGTACACGGCCTCTTTGAGTTAAAACCTGCTTGGTTGGGGTGGTCTCTGTGCCTGAAGGGCTCGGGTACCTCCCTGGGTATGGGCAGAGGTGTCTGTGAACTGGTGTCACTCTGTGTTTCAGGGATGGCCTGGTTGGGTGTTTCTTGCTGTACAGTCTGTTATCAGCTATCCAAGACCACATCTTTTCTTTGTAACCTAAAGAGTTAAACATTTAGAGAATCTCATAGTAGATGGTATTTCTGCTATGGGGGTCGGGGGGGGTGGTGTCATACTAATGTGAATTTTGTTTCTAATTTACAGTGCAAATCTTCAAGAATAAATATGGATTTGGAAAGCTGATACCGCTGTAAATTAACATTTAATATTAAACATGTAGACTTGCAACTGTCCATACACCCTCATTTCTGTAAGTTTTCATAGAAAAGCCCTGGAGCTTTCCAGTAAAGACAGGCTCATGTTACTACAGATCACTGGTGCTGCCAGTTAAACCCCTGATCTGACAGTCTGACCAAGTGTGGTTGTGAAAATTCCGCCTTTGACTGGAGTTTTTCCCTCCAGTAGCAGTGAGGTGTTTCACTGATTTCACCACTGACCATTACTCCATTGCTTCAGAGAATAAACTGTTATCCAGCAGGAAGGGGCGTGAGCTTTGGATAAAACTCAACCTAGTGCAATTAATAAGAATTTTTAGAAGTTGATCAGAGTCCTGCGTTACAACAGCAGTAAATGCTTAGAGAAAAGCAAGAAAAAGGCGGATAGAGTAATTGCTCTGTGTGTGTGTGTGCTCCTTATTTCTGGCAAAATTAAGGGCAGAAAAGGGCAAACCAGTAAACTTAGAGAAATTCATGGTCTTCATGCTCCTGTTTCTGCCATTCTGTTCTTAGTGCACTGCTAGGTACTGCCTCCAAGCAGAGGGGCTGGATAAAACGAGCAAAACCGTGGAGGAACAGTCTTCACCACTCAGTGCTTCTGAAGCTGAAACAGTTTGAAGCAAGAGAATTTGAAAGACCCTGAACTTCTAGCCTTCTAAGAACGTTTTAACCTTTGGTACAAACAGCGGTCTCTTGCTCCAGCAATAACTGAAAACAGAAGGGCGTCAATACCAACGCTATGAATCCTGTGAGTATCTGTGCACAGAGGGCAAATTTTAGGGCATTAATTGTTAGTTGTTGGGGAGTTCACCTTCACCTACAAGTGCCATTAACACCTTGTAGTAGTTGTGACTTGGCAGGTAAGATGTTTGTTGCAGGGGAAAAAAAAACGCTTTTGCTTGGTTTTTGCTTACGTGTGTTGAGGACTTGGAACCAAGTATTCCAACTCGGATGTAAAATCCATGCGGAGTGGCCATGGTTATGGTTGCTGTGGGAACCACAGCATGGAATTTCAAGGCATAGAAATGTTGCAGTTCTTATTCCATTAATACCCTTATGTTACCGTTTAACATCCTTACAAAATTCAGGGCATAAAACCAAAATATTCGCACAGTTTGTGTTTCCTTGTAATTGCTGATCACGCTGAATGTATTGGGCAAATAAAATCAGATAACAAAGTACCTCTCCATGAAAAGAATTCTGTTGAAACACGGGGATGCAAAATCAGAAAGTAAAATGCTGCTGGTGTTACAATCAAAGAGTTTTCAATCATTTGCCTGTCTTGAGGTAAAGTCCTGTTTCCTTGGCGGTGTCTCTTACCAAGACCTCAGCTCATTGTGAGCACTGTAACCAGCAACGAACAGCAAAGTTTCTAAGCATGGAATTATTTCCTCCCCTGGCTTACCCAGCCAAAAGGCATGAAATGAAGTGCTTTCACACGTGTTTCCACACAGATGGGAAAAACACTGCCTGACGGGAGCTTGGAGGCGTTGTTACAATTGTCCTGTGTCTGTGGTGCCCAGAGGAGCAGGAGCAGGGGCTGGTGGTGTGTGGGGCACCCGCTGGAACGCTGGGGGTTGCCCAGGGGGTGGATGGGTGGATAGTCCCTTCTGTAGGCAAGGCGAGCTGCAGAGAGACGCTGCAGTGTCTGTGATGGCCACAGGATGTCTCTCAAATGCAGAAACAGCTCTGGCTGGGGTTCATTTCGAGTGTTTTTAGAGAAGAGTTCCCAGGATCGCTCTCTCCATGTGATTCCACATCAGTTATCAGTGCTACCATCCCCTCGGACAACTTGGACTTGAAAGCATTAGGGAGGAAAATGGCCCACAAGATATTGATGGAAGTTGTGTATTTTTCTCCTTGAAATATACTCTTACTGCTGTATTTCATTTTTCATTGTTTTCTTGCTTTTGGAGCTGAGGTGTAGTTTCAATGGGCTTTACCTTTGCCGTGGAAAACCTGTAGGGCTGCAAAACCCTTTTCCACTTCTTTGTTCAAGCCTTGTTCAGTCTCCTTTCCTAGAAAATGACCATGTCAGGCAGTATGCTCTTCTGCTGAGAAGGGCAAAAGTCATATTGAACATCTAAATTCATTTTCAGCTCATTTTACGAGTAAGAATCTTTGTTTTCCTGCTTGGAAATTCAATTACTAAAGCTATTTTGCCGTTTATCCTTTAGTAACTGGTCTAATCAAGGTTGTAAATTGCAGCCAGCCTTTTCTAAAATAATCTGGGATCACTTGCCATTTATATTCCACTGTATTAGCAGCTCTCTAAAGCTTTATGCCTGGCATTTTCCATGCCTGCAGTCTGTTTTATTCTTCAAACACATCGTGTCGCTTGTTCTTCAAATAATCAAGAAGTGAAACTTCCTTATTTGCTCAGGGTCTTTTTTTCAAATCACATGTTTTGCTCCAGCTTTCACTGGCATTGTAATCCAAGTTTTGCTGTTGGGGAATTAATAGTGGCTGGTACTAATATTTATCGCTGGGATGTTTGGATTTAGTGAGTGGAAATGGAGGAGCTGTTTATTTCGGTTGATCTCAGGCTTTTCCGTGGTTTTTCTGTGAAGGAGCCTTGTGTCTCATCCCCTCCTCCTGCTGCTGCTGAGCCCTTTTCTGAGCCTCCCAAGGCAATGCCTGGAGCGTTGGGAGTCACGGAGTGCACAGCGCTCGCCGCTCCGTGTGTGACTGTGGTGGGAGCAGCAAAAGCTGAGCTTCGCTGTTGGGAAGTTCTGTTCCTCGTCACCGGTCTGGGAGCAGCCACCAGAGCAAATTCGTTAGGTCATATGTATTTTAGTGGTTTTATCTAACTGACCCCTTGATGAACCTCTTTATCCCTGGCTTTTAAAACTTGCTGCTTTTTCCGTATCTCCAGAGACAAGGCTTGGCTGAACCCTTCTGGCTGAACACTTGGAGCTAAGTCTCGCTTCAAGGGACAGTCCCTTTTTGAGGTCTCCCATGGTGTCAGAGCTCCATGAGTCTTTCCAGGCCAGATCTATGAGTGCCCTTTAGCTTGGGAAAGAGTACAAGTGCTCCAGGGTCCCTGAAGCATCTCCATGCTGGTCTGTGGTACAGAGCATGGCAAGTGCAGTGAGACCTCTTTGATGTTCACTTGCTGAAGTGAATCTTCAGACCTGGAGAACAGTTTAGCTCAGTTAAGGCTGAGGCTGTAATGAATGGTTGAATTT